TTGCCTCGCAAACCCCATAACCTGATATTTATACATATATCTAACTATATGTATGTATTTATATATATATATGTCTGTGTGTCTGTGTGTGTGTCGTGTCCCCCCTCCCTGAAACCTACCTTTTTGGTACCCGCCCTCGAGTCCAAGCCCAGAAAACTTTTTTCGATATCCGCCCCAACTCCACCCACGTCCGTCCGCAGCGGATATGCCTCGTTCCCTTGCTCTCTTCTCCTGTTCCAACCCACGCCTACCTTTCGATCTTTCACCCTTCCCTCTCAAGTTATATCCAATAGGTGTATATTTCGGCCAGAACAGCTGTGGGACAAAGATGACATCACAAGATCAGAGCTGAGGAGTAAAATCTTACGTGGAGAAGACGATGGATCTCATGCGATCCCGGGGATACAAGACGCTCTTCCAGGTCCAGTCTTTCGTTCAACAGAAGTTGATCCTCATCTGAAGGGGTTTTCACCAAACCTAGGCCCCTGGAATAGTTGGAAATAATTGGAAGCATGGGTATACAGCCAAGCAAATATGGGTGCTCTCTGCAATTCATGGCTTTTTGTGTGGCAAGATACCCCCAGAGCTGGTGGGGATTTGTGGGGTCCTCAATTAGTGTGAGACACACAACGAGCATCATGACTCAAGGTATTTTCTCCATCAGCTTTTCCATACATGACCTGTTCTTAATGTGGTTTGCGGTTGCGGGTAATGGGTAATGTTCTAAATTCTGTTGTGGCTTCAAAAAACCCCAAAGGCTGCCACTCTCGCCCGGTTCTGAGGTTCGTCCCAATGGACAGCAAGTTGAATGGTGAGATCTTAACTTGGATCGCCAACAGCAGCCTCTATGATGGGGTGAATCTCTTGGAGATCAATCTGATATGTTCCCATGGTGCCTCCATGGCTGTTGCACTGGGACACAGCATTTCCTCCGAAGATTTCCAAAGCTGCAGGACAGATTGCCACCTCGCATGCCAAAGGCATGGGGCGTGCGAGCAGTTGTAGCAGAAAAATGCGACTGGCGAGCTGAATGGCCCGTTTGCCGGGTCTGCTGTTGTTAGGTCTACTATGGAATGATCACCCGATTATCAATGAAAATGCTGAGGAGCCATGGTCACAGGATGGATTTTTGGGTCAAAATCGACCAAATGGGAGACTATCGTGGATCGCTGAGCTCCAGGTTAAAGCGTGGTTCAAACGAACGTGTGACCCAGAAAAAGAAGTGGATTACAGATTGCCACCAGAAGTGGATCCAAGCAGCTCAAATTTGGAGATTCCTTTGGAAGTTGCTGAGGCATAGTGCCCAACCGCAGACACTAGGTGCGGCAGATTGGGTGGCGGAGGACAATGGCAGGGGGGTTTCAAGAACTTGCCAGGTCGCAAGATTAACGGCATGACATATACATGTCAGTAGTTGTACATACCAGATGTGACAGCAATCACACACAGTAAATTTCAGTAGGAAACACATCCTTGGGGATAAATACATCTTAGACAATGCTAAGATTGGCACTTCCGCCCGCATTCAAGGCCTCTCTCAATTTGTCCTTTGCCCTTGTCATGTTGTAAAGGATCGGCTCTGGATAAAGTCATGTTGCCATTGAAACATTGAAACCTCAGGATCTGCCAGGATGTGCACAGGTGCACTTCCTGGCAGAGTCCGTGATCAAAGCGAGACGCCAGGTCGTAGCCTGGAGCCGGCCTGGAGACCAACTTGCAGTGGTTTGAACAGCCTCAGCAACATGTTGAAACGAGTTATGTACTAATTCAATAATAATTCAATCTAATTTTATACGTGAATACCCAAAGAATGAAACATCTCTCTGTATATCATCAGTCAGACTTGCATTTTTCAAGACTTTTGGGTGGTTTCGTCCATTTCATTCATTTCATCTGATGATTCCTGTTCCTTTTTTGTTTCACAAATGACACAACCTGAGCCGTGCAAAGCCCATGCTATGTGGTTCTTGCCCAAGATTTGTTGTCCGTTGAATTAAAATGCAGATTTGGAGCAAAAATAGACAGCGTTGCTCCAAGCCTTTATAGGTTTTCATGATAGCCACAATTTTCCCAACCCTGATAGACTCAGTCGATTCTCGAGTGGCAAGCACTTTTCGCTTTTCTGCAGGCGTAAATCTCTCAGTGCTGGTGAGGGGAGGCCAGAAGGGGGTACCAGCAGAGCCACGGCGCTCAGTTTTTGGCAGAAACTGCTGCCGGCAATGGGGCAATGGTGTGGAGCCAGGGATTTGACATGATTCCAACTACTTTGTGTTTGTCTCAAGGCATGTTTCATGTGGCCTTCAATGTTTTGAAAAGTGCATGGCATGTTGATTCTGAGTGTGATGCAGCTGGCAGGGTTTCTGATCATGTAAGATGCAATGGTAGTTCTTGAGTGCAATTGTGAAGCAACGCACTCCTTGCAGAATTGTACAGGTGTAAGACCCAACCTGACTCTTCCTGTTTGTTCTGTCTGACTTTGATTTTCAAGAAATGGCGGAAGAAAGACAGTCGTGAGTGTTTTTGGAAAATAAGCAACCAGTTCGATAGAACTCTGTAATCCCTTCCTCCTAATACTAAACCCCCCCCCCAATACAAAACACGGCAGGTAGTTTTTAGTATTAGGGGGGTATTTATTATTAGGGAACCAAATCGAAGTCATGTTAATTAATTAATTAAATTATCCTTATATAACACAATTAAAATATTGCCAAAAATGGCAGTTCGAAGCTTACCCCTAATACTAAATTAAAACCCTTAATACTAAAAACTATTTTTTCCGATCTCAAAATCAATTAAATTTCCTTATATAACGCAATTAAAATATTGCCAAAAATGGCAGTTCGAAGCTTACCCCTAATACTAAATTAAAACCCTTAATACTAAAAACTATTTTTTCCGATCTCAAAATCAATTAAATTTCTTTATATAACGCAATTAAAATATTGCCAAAAATGGCAGTTCGAAGCTTACCCCTAATACTAAATTAAAACCCTTAATACTAAAAACTATTTTTTCCGATCTCAAAATCAATTAAATTTCCTTATATAACGCAATTAAAATATTGCCAAAAATGGCAGTTAGAAGCTTACCCCTAATTGCTAGAGTAGCTAGGCAGCTTGGAGTGAGGGATTGGGACTAGGCCCCCCTAATACTAAACACCCCGGGGTGAACTAGTTTTTAGTATTAGGGGGGAGAACCCACAAATGGTAGGTTGATTTTTAAATTGTTTTTTAAAGGGGATCAATTAAAAGTCAAATTGGCCAAACTGAAATTTTCGGAAATTGGAGATGGATGCCTGTTTTTAGTATTAGGGGGACGTTTAGTATTAGGAGGAAGGGATTATTTCGGTACAGAATCTAAAATTTACCTACATGCCCCATGAGTCGGATGCAGCATTGGAGCTTTTACCGCATGAAAGGTCGCGCTGGTGCTAGTGGGTTTATTCTATTCACATCTTTGCGTAAATCATAACGACCTCACTGCGACCTCACTGGAATAATGGTCAGTAAGGGTAATATCCCAACATGGTCTTATTTCATGTTAGTGAAATACTATGATTTGCCCAGATATCAATATAGCGATAGTTTCTGCTCCAACACAACAGTACCAAGGGTCTGGAAATTTATCACATATGCAATTGCTGATCGATGTCCTATATCAGAAACTGTTGATGCTAACCTGCCTTGGGAGTTGGGCGGTCAAATATCTGCCGACACAGCTGACGATGGACACCATCGCACCATCCTTTTCGAAGTTTTTCGCGTTGTAAAAGTCATGGGTCAACCGACATTGAAAGTCATGGGAATTGCTGAGCCACAGCCACAACTGTTGACATCTTAAAATTCCGAAAATCGTTGCGGACGTAGTGGCAAGAAAAATGTGTGAGGTGTCTATCGATACTGTAGTTCTTCCAGTACAGATCGTTGTTTCGGACTCTCTGAAGTGTCCTGTGACTGTGGATTGCGCGGAACACAGGGCAGGTCGGAGGAGCCACATTTAAAAGTCAACTGGCAATCTGACCTGGCTGGAAAGTTCCCCTGCTGGGTTTCTCCATCAAAAACGGGGGGATTGTTCAGCCAGCGCAAACCGAAACCCATGGGAATTTAAGGCAGCTCCGCGTTGAGTGTTACCACCAAGTGGCGGACCTCCTGTGGAGCTGTCAGCACCGTGTTTCATGAGCGGAAACTGTGCCTCAATGGAGAAAATTACTGCAGTCAATAGGCCATCCTGTAGCTGACAGCATCTTAAAACCTTGCAAAATCCACATTTTCTCGATTTTTCCATTACAATCAACACTCTGAAAACACTGGTTTCCTTGACTCTAGAACCAGCTGGTGCTGTGCGAGACCAAATCGTCTCCTGGTGCTGTGGCGAAGTTCCAGCTACGAACAGGTGGTGCTCACAGCTGTCATGGTCTCTCCAAGGGGTACTTCCAAATCCGGTGGTTCGAAAAAACCAAATCCGGTGGTTTACCTACCCAATTTGTGGAGCCTGACACATCTTGGATGATTGAAGATTGAAATGAAGTGTTTCGTAACATTTTGTTATATCTTGTCATTTATCTGGGTGGCGCGTTTCCACCTTTTCAGACAATTCAGCCCCGTTTGCGGGGATGATTCCAATTGAGCAAATTTTGCTTTTGGGGGGTTGGAACATGTTAGAACTACCAGCTAGCTACTGTAGTTACTTTTTTACCCAATGATGAACTCTGAAGCCTCTGGAAACCTGTGGAGTTCTGTGGCTGGTGCCGCTGGTGGCATCCTTTGGGTCGGCCGCAGCGATGGGTGCACCTTTTTCCAGTCGACCGCGGCCGAAGAAAACGAAAAGCGCGAGGGGCAGATCTTGCCAAGACACAAAGCCACCGATATCCACTGTTCTACCAGGAACCACCCCGATTTCGGTGGCCGCAACGGTATGACAATGAATATGGGGATACACCCAACACATTCCGATTTTTTTTGGCCATCCGGCCAGTTGCAAGCGATGCAGCGACGCCCACTTTCGGAGTACCCAATGGGACCCATACGATACAGCCAACAAAGATGAGGGATATTTCTGACTGAGATTGAGATTTTGAAGAGCATCCCACAACACCAAAGGATGAACACTGAGCGCTCCTCTGCAGCTCCGGGACAAGGTACCTTTTTCTTGATGCGTGTGCTCAAAGTTTCGCAAGCGACAAAGATTCGCCAGCCAAAACGCTGTCAGACTGCCAGTAAGCGATTGTCTTAGCTGCATGGCCGGTGTGAAAGAAAACGAAGGAAAAATCATTTGGAGGTTTCCTAAAATGGGGGTACCCCTAAGTCATGTATTTTAGTTTTCCAATATAAACCATCCAGCCATTGGGGTACCCCCATGACTATGGAAACCCCTATTTGATAGGATCTACATAGAAACTAGCTTCTACACGAGCATCTTCCAGCCTGTTTGAAAAGTTAACCAACCGTGATTGACAACTTACCTACTAAAGATGACTGATGCAAAACAACCCCCTTGTACTAGCTAGACATAATCACCCTTCTTGCGAAGGATATAGGTAGTCGATCGCACTCTCTCTCTCTCTATCCAGCTTATTGTCTTTATCCACATATCCAGCTTATCCCTGACATCCCCATCTAGCCTTAGCCAAAATCACATTTGTGGAGAGTTCGTATTTGGGTATCTTCCAAATCACGGGATACAGCACCCTAAGCATTGTTTCCTGTGACCTAGAGAATCCTAGAGATATACAAAAGAACATCTGGTTCAAATAAATAGTTCCCCAACCATGGACATTGTGGATACCCAACTTCTTTTTGCTTAGTCATACATTTTTTCCGTGAAAACCTAGCACTCTGGCGGTGACCCAACTTCTTGGACTTCAGATGTCGTGAAAGCTACCCTGCGCCATGAGCTGTTCGTTCACTGCATCGGAAGGCACCATGGGAGGAAACTATGGCACTATGGGACCTTTTTTTTCCCAAAGCTCTTCGGGTCAACATTTCGATGGATCCCTATGAATCGATCAGTTCCATGGCTATGCCAATGCTATGCCAATGCTATGGATCACCCAGATATCATCCATTTTCCGCCGGTGCGGCCCTTGATGTTCATAGCCCATGGGCCCATGGTATTCATGGTATTTATGGTATCGGTGTTTGGATCCATCCCCTGAGTAACATTTTTGTTTTGGATAGTCGCCACTAGCCACCTAGATTTGTTCTTCTTGAGGAAAAGATACGAAGGAGCCGCCCAGAGAAAAGCCAGGAACAAAAACATATTTCAAGCTTTTTCAAGCACCAAAAACGGAAATATAACTAGTAAACCGTTTTGATTCCCAAAAATAGGGGATCCCCCCAGAATTGCTATTTCAATCGGAAACATTAAGCTAATTTTTTTCAAAACTCTTTTGGACATTTTTGGACAACCCAATTGCATGTATAATATATACCATCATCTTTCGAATATACATCCCTAATTGTTTTTGGTCGATTTTTCCCTGTTGGTTTTATACTCCCGGTATCCCCAAATCAGCATCAGCCCTAGTGATTCACCCCAGGAATCGTGAGCTATCACCCCACTTAGAAGTAGGAATAGGCTTAGTCCAGTTGTAACCAGGGTTGTAACCCACCAAGTGAAGCCACGCCCGATTTTTTTCTGTAGGACCCACTTGGCGCGATCATCATGCGCAACTGGATGACCTCATTGCTTCGCTTCATGTGCGGATCCAAATTAGTGGCGTTTTTGCACCGGGGGATCGTCATCAATCCGTAGTTTCCCCATATGGGATGGATGACCATGGCCACCATGAATGGCACTGCCATGGGAATGGGTCGAAACCTATCATACCGATCATACTGTATAGGATGAACATGATTTTTACAGGCAATTTTTCGAGTTAATGAGGCTAGCTGGGGTTTGATGCTGCATATCATATCCATATAGTCTAACTTTGGATGATCTGGGTGTCGATCTATTTATCTATCTACCTATCTACCTATCTATCTATCTGAATCTATCCACCTATTTATCTATCTATCTATCTACCTATCTATCTGGCTATAATGATTTACCTTTGAGAAATGGCAATGGTGACTTTGCATAGCCATGTTTGTTTACTGAGCGTATCTAAACAACTTACTGGCCATGATCCAGGTTGACTCATTTTTGTCAGGTCAAAGGGGTTGAAACCACCAACCAACCCTTTACATATCTGCCTTTTTTGAGAGGTTCTGAACCAGTTCCAAAGCACCTTTTAACATTTTTATCCGGAAGTTCAGGACTTATTTTTTCTGTTTATTTGATTTTATTTGTATGTTTCTCATCATTTTCTGTGACTTCGGGGGATTTCCACCCATTTTTTTCTGGACCCCTGGCCTGGCTCGTTTTTTCAGGCCCGAGCATGGCTGGCGGCCGGAGGCAGCCCCAGCGCGCCGAAGGCTGTGGGTTTACAGATTGGCTGATTCAGTCATAGACTTCGGATGGGTTTAAAGTTTTTAAAGTCTATGAATGTCATGGCTAGTCTGTTGCTACCCAAGATTGGCCATCTCAAGAAGTTACAGTCAATTTAACGGCCATTGGAATGGCCGTTCAACAAGGGGTTGAGCGGGTTGAGCGGTCGATCTCCGCATTTCCCAAGTGGGGGTGACTGTAAGCTCCTCGATACTCATTTGTGGCAGGTGATGGCTCCTCCCAGTTCTTCATTGACTCTTGAAGCTTACATGGGACTCACACAGCTTCATCACAAAAGTGTTGTTAGGCACCATTGCTTCCTCAAGGTCTCATATGACTCATATGGAAGTTTCAAAAAATGGCCTTCAAATCTCATATTCCCCTGGGATCATGGCCATTTTTGTGTTCCATCTGTGATGGCAACCGGGGGCCACTTAACCCTGTCGTCACCATGTGAGGCGCCCAAAGCGGAGTCTTCCCGGGTTTCAGGCCGAAACAAGGGGAAATCCACTGAAATCATCGAACATTGGGATATTTCTACCCTCTGGTTATGTAACATAGCCATGGAAAATCACCATTTTTAATAGGTAAACCATCTATTTCTATGGGCCATCTATACCATGGCTATGTTAATCATAGCCAGATGGTAATTGGAAAAAACCCAAGCAATGGTGGGTTTTTTCTATGGAGATCATGGTACTTTTCATGGGATCCTCCAAGAATACAGTGTGATGGTGCATATGAAAACCACACAGATAATTTGATAGCTGTCACTGGCAACCAGAGGATTCAAAGAACCGAGGTGCCCCAGCACCTTTCACTGGGCCTTGATTTTACCGGGCTTAACCTGTGGCAAAATCACATAGCTTTGTGGACTAGGAACCAACAGCCTGGGAATGTGAATCAACTTGCAGTGATTGGTGCAAGGTTTGCAGCTTTTTGCTGGTGAGGAATGTCCATTGGGACAGCTGGAGCCTCCAACAAACCAACTGCATGAACTGGATGGGAACTTTGAGGTATTTGTCCCAGATTGATCAATGCAAACCTAATTATGAAAATACATGGTGCTCCCAGGATGTAGACAGATACGAAACTTCTGACTCTTGAGCCGTAATCCAAACTTTGAGTCCATTTGCCGAAACCTTGTAGGAATCACCATGAAAACAGACACGGTACCCACATGGTAGGAAAATCCCGACCCAAAGCTCATAGCAAGAACTCGCAAGAACTCGCAAAACCTCGTGACTGACATAGTTTTGTTGCACTTCAAATCTCAAGATCCCTTTGCCAACAGGGACCTGACCCTCCGACACCGTGGCAGCGACAACAGATACCGCCATGACGGCAGCGCACGCGGCGAACGTCGCGCCATTGTCGCCGAAGGCGGATGGCTTTTCGGAAGCCCAGCTGCGTGCTATGGAGCGAGTCGGCCGTGTGCCGGTGAAGGGCAGATATGTGAAAGGCAGACACCTGCAGGAGTGTCTGGCAGTGTCTGGTGAAAATGGGGAGAAGAGTTGAGTCACACCCGGTAAATGAAAGTTCTGTAAACTAGATTTCTGTGCAGATTTTGAAGATCACCCAAAAAGAGTGACGGAAATGGTTTCTGGTGTGTTTAGTATTAGCAAAGCTGTGTTGAAGGGATGGAGAAGTTGCGGTTTGTATAGGGCGGGGTGATCAGCTTCATGATTTGGACAACACTACTGTTTGCCATGGTTTAGATCATGAGTTTCCCCTTTCAAAGCGCTGTTTTGGGGGGTTCATCTTATTTCTGGACCACACCCATATCATATTGTGGCTTTTACAGTTAAGTTATATCCCATTCCCCCCTTTTTATTTGACTAAATGGCCATGCTTCTACCATATTTTATCATTTTGGAGGTTGCTATAAACATTATTTATTTTTTTTTGTGGGAAAACCATTGTGACCCTGCTATCTCCATATTATGTCCAAATGTAGCACGTGGTTCCAGTCAAACGTCAAACCGTGCCATTGGTTCAGCCCATACCCATATATATAGTTGGATCTATCCGAGAATCAAGTATATTATGTATATACGTGTATATATATATTATATTATATATGTTGCACATTAACAACATAGTGGGATATGATCCATGAATACCAAAATGGTGAGACATATACAATACATAGCCTCTGGTAATTTAACATAGCAATGGAAAATCACCTTTTTTATGATGTAAATCATCTACAACTGGGCAATTTTACATAGCAAACTGTTAGATAAACAGAGGATTCCCATCAAGTATCCCATTATATATTTACTCACTGCAATACAAACACATAATGTTTACCCTCCGGTAATGAAACAAAGCAATTGAAAATCCACCAATTGCAGATGATTTTCCAGCTATAAACCTCCATTTTGTTCGTGGATTTCCCAGTTCGCCATGTTTGATTAGCATTTTTCATGGGAAATCACAATTTCTATCATCTATATATGGGCCATGGCTTTCATAGCTATCTTCAATAGCCAGAGGGTATGGTTTCACCATGGTTTTACCCATCAAGATCCCATTGGTATCCCATCATGCTTCTACTCCCATCAATATCCCCCTTGTATCCAGCATTTATCGCTGTTTTTCCCCCTATTAAACCCTCCATTTCCAGAGGATTTTCCTTGCTATAAACCTCCAGAGGCTAGTTGGAAGTGGTTCCCCCGGCTGCAGGACGATTTTCGTTTCACAGGGAAGGTCCTGGGCACCGGCTGCAGCGGTGCGGTACTGCAAGCCGTGGATCGCAGCGTTGGCAGCGGTACTGCGGCAGCGACAAAAGCGCCGTGCCGCGGCGCCATGAGGTGAGATGCCACTCCATGAAGCATAGTGAACTGGGGGGAGATAACTAATTATGGGTTACATGATGTTACAATAAGTTATACTAATTTGGTCATAAGTTGGTTTATAGTACAGTCATATTTTTGGCATCAACGATATAATTTTTATTGCCAAAAGTTGGATTTAACCTCTGAAAATAGGGATTTCATGGGACATTCTTTAGAATACGATGCCTTTGATGAACTGCAATTGATCAGAAATTGGATTCGACTAACTCAGTCCTTGGGGATGGTTCCATTTTCGGATTCATCCATCGCCATGTTGGGAAAATCCCCAAGTTTTGATCCTGCATATCCCTGCGTGGGGTTGAAGTTTTTTGACGTTCCAAAACAGCAAAGCGTAAAGCCTTAAAAGCCTAAAACTTAGAAGCCTAAAATTAAAGCCCTAAATCCTGAAAACTTAAAGTCAAAATCACTGCGTATAGCCAGTGTTTTCATTTCATCCTTTGGTGACACGTATATTATATTGTTTGGATGTGTTGTTTGAGGGGTGAACCCGGGGTAGGGAACATCTACCATTGTAATGGTCCAAGGCTGCGAACAATGTTAGCCAACAGGTATATATATACATAGCCCGAAGCCTCCTGTTTAGTTAACAGCTCAAATTGGTTAAAGCCAAGCTTTTGAACACCATTGATAGATATTGATAGTAGATTTTGCGATTCAACCATCCATTTGCAGGGGGATATCCCGTCAAGTCCCATGGCAGCTATGGTAAGCCATGGCGCATTTAGTTCGATGATTTACCTCTCAAAAAATTATCAGAGGGTAGTGGGGAACTGGAAGCAACAAATGGTTGTTTCCCTTTCAAAACTTTGGCGGTGAAGAATCCCTACATAACAAATGGTTCTTCGGGGGACACCGCCATCGATTTCTGGTTGTTTGTGGTTATAATAAAGGTATAAAACACATAGACTCTGCTATGAGGTGGGAGTTGGAACGCTACTTTGCGAAATTGGGATTGGCAGGGTCCATGTTTGTTTTGGTTGTGGTTAGTAGAAGGAGTTGAAGCAATCAAACTTGGGCATTCATCCAATTTTATCAATTTATTCTAGCATAGAAATGGGATAAACCAGCAATCCTTGGGTTTAGTTGACCTAGCACATATTTACTGGTGAATCTACAAAAGTATGACTACACAGTATGACTTTAATACCCAACACGTTTCTTTTTCCCCATTCCATGGCTTAAATAAGCCCAGGTGGTATCCCCAACAGCAAAAAATATGGGAAACATGGCAGGAGCTAGTGAACAACTATATCAAGTTTCAACCCTGGTGGCAAACCACCCCGGAAGCTGCCCCAAAATTTCCATTTGATCTGTCAGATGATTCATCTGAACTATTTGATTTTTGAACCACTCCTGTCCAGACTAGCCTCTGGGAATCCTCGTGAGGAAAGTTGCCATCAAGAACTACGACTTGGATCTATTGGATGACTCACAGAGGCAAGTTATTGGACGAAAGAGTGGTGCACCGGCTTTGCATCATATCAGACTGTTGAGTTGTCCTTGCGACCTCCTCAAGCGATCAAGTTGTCGCTGAGGCAGCGTCTGCAAGGTGAACTGGAGGTCTTTTTGAGTCTGGATCATCCGCACATTGCGCGGCTCCTGTATGTTCCTTGGAAGGTGAATCTCACTCAACAGAGACAACAGAGAGTGATGGTGGGGGAGTTAGCCTCACCACGTTTGCCAATGCAGTGAGATAATGCCACTCAAAATTCTGCTTCAGGGATGTGTGTGCAATGTGGCAGACCCAATGCAATGCAATGTAATGTAATGTAATGTAATGTAATGTATGTGTGTATATATACAGGGATGACATGCACTGAATTACGGACGCCCAACATCAACTTCAAATCGTTTGGTTCACAGTGACAGGGCAGATGGGGTCCGTTGGTCAATGAAATCATCTGGGACCGGAACTTCCACTGTATGGTAGTCATGTTGGATGCTGAGAACTCCATGCTGGGTTTAAAAGGTGTTCCAATCACTAGTCCATCACTGGCCCCCTTGCTCTTTAGATGTTGACTTATACCCAAATCCCCAGAAACAAATCATCTTTGATATATTTGTATCCCCATCTTGGTTGCTTAAATCCTCGTTTTTGCTTGTTGAAAGACATGGTGAAAAACCGTGGATTTTTCATCACCACCATCCCCCATCCTGCATCCTCGCCAAGGTCTATGAGTCCGACAATGCACTGAGTTTAGTCATGGAATGCATGGAAGGCACCTTGGGGGGATCCGGATCTGGGAGATTCCCCAAAACCAAAGGGTTTGTTCCGCAGATAGCTGCAGATTTGAGAAGGGTTCTTCCCTTCTCAATCGGTTGCTGATGTTTGAACTTGACTTCCTCTCAAATCCGTTGCTGCCTGCTTAGGGGTGCTCTTGCCTGCTGCTGTGGCTTCACTACTTGAGAGCAGAATGACCAAACTTATGAAGCCAGGTATCCCGAATCCGGGCTGTTCTTTGAAATTGTATTTGGGGGTCTATGCCTGTGTAATTCATTTGAATGGAGGATTTCATCTACCCTGAATGTATTGATTGATTATCGAGACATATCCATACTGAATTATGTATCCCCAGATAAAATGTTCGTCAATGGTTAGTAAGGTTAGCAAAGGATATGATATACGTAGATGTTTAGTACTGCTGAGGATCTGTGGTGTGGATCAAGCGCTTGACGAAGGCCAAAGGATTTCTACCAAATCTGACACAACATATAGGTCTTACATTTTGACCCATGTTTTTTTCATTTGCTATGGCTCTACTGTAGGACATGCTCCGGTTGTATGACCACTTGTGGCTTGCCACAATCTGTTTTTCCGTACATTCTTGCCTTATTTAAGTCCTTCGTACTAGAACAGGCGAGCCTTCCATTGTTGCTTGTACAATAAGAGTCAGAAGACAACCCAGGGCCTCCTACTACATATCTCCATATACATATATACATAGCAAGCACTACATATGCAATACTATCCGCTTGGGTTTTATACCATTGTGAATTGCATACATTGCCGGCATTTGTAGATGTCCTTCACAGGTGGAGAGCTCTACGATCGCGTCATCCATGGCTCAGGGCAGACCCTTGGCAGCAACTTGACGGGTCCCCGATCGTTGAAACGTTACAGGCTGCGAAATTCCTCAATTTTAGCATTCTGCTTCCACTTCAGATTCCCCACCTCTGCAGATTGCAACCTCCAAATGTTGCCAACACATAGGTTTGCCCCTCTGCTGCTTTCACTTTCCACTCACCAAGAAGCATCTGCTTCCACTTTCCACCAGTTGCACTTTGCAAACATACTGACTGGGAATTTGCTGACCTGGAGGGTGGGTATGTTGTTGTCTTCGGGGGTCATAGGGGGGGGCTGAGCATATATATATGAATGAACGACCCCGGATGTAAAGACGAATAGGTTGATCATCCCCTTTTTTCGGTAGTTTCGGCTTCAGCTCATGAGTGGTTGCAGATTGTGCAACTGCCCCTTTCCTGGAGTGGACGGAGTCTGCGCTTTGTGCCGGTGTGTCTCCCGGCTGGTGGGGGAGTTCAGAGCACTTCAGCCTGTACTGCGATCCTGGGGGGTCAGCCAGGCCAGGCAGTGGACTTCCCTGCTCCAAGAAGAGCAAGCTCAACAGCGGGCCAGGGACAGGCTTTGTGCTCCTGTGGGCCCTCCTACTACGGGAGGGTTACCAGTGCCTCCCCCACCTCCTCCTCGTACGGAGGGCATTGCGGTGAAGAGGGAGGCGGCGGCGAGCGCACCAAGCGCCCCAGCCGAGGTTGCTGAGGCACCTTCCTCGAGCGCCCGGGGAGCTAGAGAGGAGGCTGAGAGATCCAGATCGCTTCAAAAGCCCAAGAAAGAAAAGAAGAAGGAGAAAGCTGAGGGAAAGAGGAGTAAAGCCCGAGATAGTAAGACAGAGAGAGGAGAAAGCCCAGGAAGAAAAGAAAGGAAAGAACGTCCGAGAAGCAAAGATAGGTCAGGAGAAGAGTCTGCACGTGGAAGCAGAGAAGCTTTCATTGACAAGAGGCCCGTCAGCAGGGCAAGGAGTCCGAGACTGGAAGATAGAGACAGGGGCAGAGGCAGACCCCGAGAACCAGAGCATCCTCCTAGAAGGTGGGAGGGTCCTATCTTGACGGTGAGGCGTCCGATCGGAGAAGCGGAGCCCAGGGCCGATCCCCAGCGTAAGAGGGCGCTCAACAAAGGCAGAAAGAAGCGAGAGAGGCAGCGGGCTTGGCGAGAGGACCGAGCTCAAGGTTAATGGCATTGAGGAGGCCAGCGGCGGCAGGGCCAGCTGGTAGACGGGCTCCTAGGGTGGGAGCAGCTCTGCGTAGACCGGCGAGTCGAGGCGCAGGTGAGCAGAGTCAGAAGGGCGAAGCAGAAGAAAAGTTTGTGAACGGAGAAGAAGTGGAAGCCAATTTGGCTCCTTTGGGAAGATTGGTGCAAGGTACTCCTGTCGTCGTCGTTGGGGAGTACCGACAAGAAGGATGTCGTCTTTGCGGCACAGTGCAGGGCCTCCAAGTGCGCCACGTGGGCGATGTAGAGTTGCAACTGACAGGGGAGGGGACGGAAAGCGAGTCCCTCCTGAAGTGGATCACCGGGCACCCCACGGTGCCAGTGCGGGTCCATCTGTGCGGCTCAACTTGCCCCAACAAGGTGGACGCAGAAGGTCTAGTACACGCCACAAAAATCCGACAGAAACAGAGGAGCGACGAGGGAGGCTGGTCAGAGAACCTGCGAGAAGGAAGAGACGAGAATGCAGAGCTGAGGAGAGAAGCAATGGCATTGCAAGAGAAGGAAGCGAAGGGGAAAGAGAGAGCAGACCAGAAAAGAGACGACAAGAAAACAAAGAAAAAGAAAAAGGAGAAGAAGAAAAGATCCTCAAGCACCGGAGGATCCAGCCGAAAGAAGGTGAGATCGAGCAGAAAGAGGGTCAACTCACGAAAGGAGCCGAAGGATGTCTTCGGGTCAACTGGCCTGGACCCCGATTACAAAGTGAGGAGGAAACTGGTGAAAGCATTGAAGAAGAAGTTGAAGAGGAAGAAGGAGGAGAGCACCAGCGGCGATTCAAGCTCCATCGATGGGAGCGGGGAGAGCAGCGACCAGGGCAGCTCCGAGGACGAGGGGATCTTCGGGGACACCCACAAAGTGCGGGTGGTGGCCCGCCGAGCTCCAGGAGTTACTATCAGGGAGATGCAGAGTCAACTCCTGACGGCAGCAGGCACAGTTTGGGACCAGGAGAAAGGGGAGGTGCCTGCGGTGGCGCTGCAATATTACCGCAACCATCTGGCCCCCCTCCTTTCAGGGGGGGCCAGCCGAGAAGCTCTGACCTTGTGCTGGAGCTTAGACCTGGCGCTTCAGGGGAAAGTTGCCAACACGGTCGACTGCTTGGCGCAGAGGCTGAAGAGTTTGCAGCTGACAGCCAATGGAGGGAGTTGGCAAGTCAGTCAGAGGGTCGAAGTGGTCCCGCCAGAACGGGGACAACTGACAAGCCGCGCAGAAACACAGGCCGCGGCAAAGGAAGACAAGGAGGAGCAGAAGACGAGAGCGTTAGCAAAAGGAAAAGAAAAGGGAAAGAGCGAGAGTTCAGGGGCAGGGGCCCCGTGGCGATACGGGCAAAAGGGCGAGACAAAAGGGCTCGACAAAGGGAAAGGCAAGAGGAGCGAAAAAGAGGAAGGAAAGAAGAGCTCCTAGATTTGGGAGCTGAGGCTGAAGACACATATGAGGGCCCCCTCCTAGGTTTGGGAGGAGAGCCACAAAGAAGCTATGAAGAGGTGCGAGGAGCCCCCTGTGGCCTTAGTTTAAACCAGGGGAAGACTGCCCACGGCCGGGACACTGTCCTTGGACAGGACCGGGCCAGGTGCAGTACGGGAGTGCGCGAAAATCGCCCTCCTGACAGCCCTGAATGTGGACCCTGGGTGCGTGGACACGGTTCTGTGTGGAAACCGCCTATAGGTCTTATGGGGCATGGCGCCGGAGAGAGGTCAGATGGCGCAGGCGTTTTTCCACAGTTTCATGTTTCACCTAGTGGCGAAGCTCCGGACAGCCAGTTCGCTGGTAGCCCCTCGGTGTCATCCAACCGATGCTTAGGTGACTTTGCAGATAGTCACTTGGACGATGCCCCGCAGACCTTCGATCGCAGTGGTGAGAAAAAGAAGATGAAGGATCCGAGTGCAGTCAGGGAGTGTGGTCGAGTTGAGAAACTTGTTGGTTTACCCTGGGGTTCCTGTTTGCCCTTAGTTCAGTCACTGCTGATTAAATCTTCTTCAAAATTGAAAAAGAAGCACAGCGAGGCCAAGCCCACGGGTGACGTATTCCCATTACCCACCAGCACTGACATTTTAAGGGGGCAGGAACGTCTGGCCAGGGTTGATGTGGTTATGCTGCGGTCTCTTTGCTTGGGTCTCAATAGTTACGCGGGAGTTGACTTAGAGTCAGGGGCCAGAGTGACTCCTTTGCAGCTTGAGTTCCTGGAAGGGCTGTGCGGAGATTTAGCAGAGGTTTCAACATGGGAAGAGACGTTTAGCTTGTCTACTTGGGAATCCTTTTTTAGTAGTCGCAGTGTAGACTATGTTGGTGATGAAGTGTCGGTGGCAAAAACTACTTCTTGGTCCAACCTTAGTCCAGCTATACCTGCAGAAGTAGGAAGGGTGGAGCTGTCTTCGGTATTGGAAGGGGGTTGCAGACACTACGTCACACATTTCGAGGACTACCTAGTCCCTCCTGAATCCATGGAATACACCAAGCCTCCGAGGGTCATGGTAGCTGATGACCAATGGGAGGGCGTCTGTCGAGGTCTCCTGTCATCGGGTATCTGTGGCCTTCTCCCGGAGAGCGAGTTGTTCCATGTGAAGGGGAGGCCTCTCCTAAATGGCCTCTTCGGAGTGCCCCAGGGAGACAGAGCAGGAGGGATAGAGTTGCATAGGCTAATCATGAATTTGATTCCTCTGAACAACATTTGCCGGCCAATCCAAGGAGACGTATCAACGTTGCCAGCATGGTCCTCAGCTGGGCCGTTAATGTTGATGCCCACTCAACAGTTGCTCATTGGGTCAGATGTGAGGTGTTTCTTCTACTTTTTTTAAAGTTCCCGCTGCATGGCAAAAGTTTCTCGGTTTCAACAAGGCTGTACCGACCCATCTGCATCTGGGGCAGACCGAGCGCCATTTTTTGGTGTCTCGAGTCTTGCCCATGGGGTTCAGGAATTCAGTCAGTCTGGCACAGGCAGTCCACCGTTCCGTGGTGAGAAGAGCCAAGGGGAGGACGAGCAATCGCCTCCTGGATTGCCAAGAGCTGAGGAAGGATCGTCCCTTCCCCAACACTGATCTGATGCATCGAATATATTTGGACAACTTTGATGAGTTGGAACGCATGGACGGGAGTTTGGCAGCGCTCCTGAAAGGTTCTCCAAGCCCCTCTATTCTAGCCCTTAGAGCTGAGTATGAGGCTTGGGGTATTCCTAGGCATCCCAAAAAGGCCGTGCAACGTTCCTTGAGGGCCGAGGTACAAGGGGCTATGGTGGATGGTGACAAGGGGTGTGCATACCCCAAACCTGACAAGATCCTAAAGTATACCCAACTGGCGCTACTCATGCTAGACCAAGGGAAGTGTAGTCAAAAACAGATGCAGGTAGTGGCTGGGGGCCTCGTGTACATTGCCACTTTCCGTAGGGCCCTAATGGGTGGCCTGAATCACATCTGGGCGTTTATCGAAGAATTTAACAAATACCCACCGGTGATACGCCTGGAGATCCCCTACTTGGTGGAACTGGAGATCAGTCGGTTTATCGCACTGCTGCCGTTGGCACGTATCAACTTCCGAGCGCTACCCAACCCCCAAGTGACTGCAAGTGATGCCTCCACGACTGGGGGAGGTGTCACTGTCAGCAGGGGACTGACAAATCTGGGTCGGATAGCCACCTTGTGCCCCTCGAGGGGAGACGTCCCTGAACTTGGTGAGATGACCCAAGTACTCACTATAGGTCTCTTTGACGGGATCGGGGCCCATCACGTGGGAGTTGCAGACAGGGGAGGGTGTGACCATCGAGATCCCTCCTGATGACAAATGGGAGTCCATGGGAAAGGTGAAGCTGGAAGGTAAGGTGGAATCTGACAAGTACCTAGTGCCAGGTTGGAGAAGGCTAGGTGAGCAACCTCTCCCCACGTTTACCACCTCACGGCCACGACAGCATCCAGGGAGAAGGCCGGCGGGGCTGGACATGTTGACGGCGGCAGAAAAAACACAGTGGGAGGAGGACAAGTTCAGGTTCCCTCCTTACCAATAACAGACCTGCCATCAGGTCGGGAGAGGGGATGTGCACCGCTTGGTCAATGCCGAAGAGCGCGAGGTGATTCTTGGCTTTCCCAGGCATTACACAGTCAACTGCCTGCCTAAGTCCAAGCAAGGTTCTACGGAGCACCAAGACCTCAGGTTGACGCTGCTGGGCAACTCCTGGAACGTCACTGTGATCACATGGCTCCTCAGTCAATTGGGAGCGTGGCTGGGAGTAAGTCCTCAGCTGACAATCCAGCACTGCATCGAACGGACGTCGCCAGGAGCCAACACGGATTTTGCCACTTTCCTTACCAGACAGCCGATGAACGGGCCGAGGAAAGCTCTCATTCAGGGAGGTAGCGATCTCCTCGTTAAGAAACTGCTCAACTTGGTCAGTATCAAAGGAGAGGACATACTGGTGAATTCTGCTTCAGAAGAAACACTGAAGTATCACAGACTCAGAGCCAGTATTCCTGCAAATTTGTGGAAGTGGTCCACAGTGTGCGGATGGAAATGGAGAGGCCATAAGGAGCACATCAATGTGCTGGAACTAAGGGCCGTGCTATGTGCCATGCGTTATCGTACCACCAAGCAACGAGTCAGAGACCAGAGGATCATACATCTAACTGACTCACTAGTGTGTCTCCATACCCTCACTAGGGGCCGCACCAGCAGCAAGAAACTGCGAAGAACCCTAGCACGTATCAATGCCTTACTCCTCCTCACCCGAAACACGGCAGTGTGGACATATGCTCACACTGCCCTGAACCCTGCTGATGCCCCTTCAAGGGGACGTATCAAACGGAAATGGGGAAGAAAGTAAAGCAACATGTGGAAGGGAGGAGTAAGGCAGAGCGGAAAACAATACGTGCCAACCTGGGTCCCCTTAAGGGGTTGACAGTGCAGCCCAAAACGAAAGATCGCTACAACAAAGCTGTCCAAAAGTTCCTGAGCTGGACCAACAATCATGGAGTTACACTTCCGCAACAGCGCTGCGAGATTGACCACATCCTTGCCGACTACCTTGAATACATGTGGACTGAGGGAGAGGGGAGGAGCCTAGCCGCTGACACGGTAGCGGGACTACAAGATCGAGACCCTCACTTGAAAGGACATCTCGTCATTAGTTGGCGCCTGTTAAAGACTTGGGCTTCCCATGAAATCCCCTGTCGGGCACCTCCGCTCACAGAGGAGGCGCTGCATACCCTTGTCGGTCATGCACTATTTCACAGCCGTGCGACTTTTGCTCTCTCCCTTCTCCTAGGGTTTCATGGGCTCCTTCGAACTGGGGAGCTTCTTGAACTTAAAGGCAAGGATGTCTCGCAATCTAGCTCTACTTCTGTTGCAGTGATATCCCTGGGATTGACCAAGGGCGGACAACGAACAGGAGCCGCAGAAAGTGTGACTATCACTGAAGCCGACACGCTACGGCGCTTGTGGCAATGGAAACAGGCGATTAGTCCAGGCACCAAGTTGTGTGATGCACCACACAAATGGAGGAAGATGTTTCAAACTACGGTTGAAGCTCTGGGCTTGGAGCAGTATCAGTATAGACCTTATAGCTTAAGGCGAGGTGGAGCCACTTTTTATTTTCAGCGTCACGGCCAGCTGGATAGGCTCCTCCTTCAAGGGAGGTGGCAGTCCAGTAGAACAGCACGTCTGTATATAAATAGTGGATTAGCTATCCTGGCCGAGACTGAATTGAACTTGGCCCCTCATGCACGCATGTTTCACAAACAATTTTTACGTACAAAGTCATTACCCTTGCCTCAACTTGAGCATGCCATACATGGCAGGGCAGGGGGAAGTGGGAGAACAAACTCCAAAGAGAAAGAACAAGGGAAATACGGAGTTTGGGGTAGGCGGGCTGGTTGTTCCCCGGTTTGGCGGGGCCCAGCACTACCCGCGTTCTTTGGCTCATGTTTACCTCGGGTAGGCGAGGAAGCATGGGGGGAACGCCTATGTTGATTTTATGAATGGCTGTTTGGTTGAATGGGAGTCTGAATTCTTCTTTGTGAGAAGAACAAGTTTGGTGATGTAATTATTTTATTTGCCTCTGTGAGGTTTTTTGACCTAACAGGTCTTGCTGTGCACAAAAAAGGCGGGAAACCGGTGAGTCTTTGAATGAACGACCCCGGAAGTAAAGACGAATAGGTTGATCATCCCTTTTTTCGGTAGTTTCGGCTTCAGCTCCCACAGCCACCCACCCTCCTGTTTGAAGAGGGAGAACAAACTCCAAAGAGAAAGAACAAGGGAAATATGGAGTTTGGGGTAGGCGGGCTGGTTGTTCCCCGGTTTGGCGGGGCCCAGCACTACCCGCGTTCTTTGGCTCATGTTTACCTCGGGTAGGCGAGGAAGCATGGGGGGAACGCCTATGTTGATTTTATGAATGGCTGTTTGGTTGAATGGGAGTCTGAATTCTTCTTTGTGAGAAGAACAAGTTTGGTGATGTAATTATTTTATTTGCCTCTGTGAGGTTTTTTGACCTAACAGGTCTTGCTGTGCACAAAAAAGGCGGGAAACCGGTGAGTCTTTGAATGAACGACCCCGGATGTAAAGACGAATAGGTTGATCATCCCCTTTTTTCGGTAGTTTCGGCTTCAGCTCCCACAGCCACCCACCCTCCTGTTTGAAGAGGGAGAACAAACTCCAAAGAGAAAGAACAAGGGAAATACGGAGTTTGGGGTAGGCGGGCTGGTTGTTCCCCGGTTTGGCGGGGCCCAGCACTACCCGCGTTCTTTGGCTCATGTTTACCTCGGGTAGGCGAGGAAGCATGGGGGGAACGCCTATGTTGATTTTATGAATGGCTGTTTGGTTGAATGGGAGTCTGAATTCTTCTTTGTGAGAAGAACAAGTTTGGTGATGTAATTATTTTATTTGCCTCTGTGAGGTTTTTTGACCCAACAGGTCTTGCTGTGCACAAAAAAGGCGGGAAACCGGTGAGTCTTTGAATGAACGACCCCGGATGTAAAGACGAATAGGTTGATCATCCCCTTTTTTCGGTAGTTTCGGCTTCAGCTCCCACAGCCACCCACCCTCCTGTTTGAAGAGGGAGAACAAACTCCAAAGAGAAAGAACAAGGGAAATACGGAGTTTGGGGTAGGCGGGCTGGTTGTTCCCCGGTTTGGCGGGGCCCAGCACTACCCGCGTTCTTTGGCTCATGTTTACCTCGGGTAGGCGAGGAAGCATGGGGGGAACGCCTATGTTGATTTTATGAATGGCTGTTTGGTTGAATGGGAGTCTGAATTCTTCTTTGTGAGAAGAACAAGTTTGGTGATGTAATTATTTTATTTGCCTCTGTGAGGTTTTTTGACCCAACAGGTCTTGCTGTGCACAAAAAAGGCGGGAAACCGGTGAGTCTTTATATATATATATAAATACATACACACACACACATATCTATCCCCTATCATATCCCTATCATACCGCCATTTTGGTTGATTCAATCCCCAAGGCCTGGACAGGAAGCAGCGTTGGCGACCTGGCACATGCTTCAAGTGACGCGGCAAAACCGTACAACATGTTTTTTTTCCAATTTTTCCAATTTTTCTAAAGGTTTTTCCAATTTGCGAAAAATTGTTTTGATACAACATTTCCTGATGCTAGATTGATGAAAAAACGGTATATACATGGTTTATTTTTTGAAGGGTTGTTACTTTGAGAAACGAACCAACACATTTTTCGGGTGCCTGAAATCCAGTTTTTCTGCCATTGAAATTGGCTAGCTGGAATATCATATATAATTTACAATGATTTTCCTATCATAATCCCAGCATTTCTACATTGGTTTCCTATCATCATCCCCATTTTCTTGGTTTCCCAGCTTTGGCATCAAGGCGATCTCCTACATTCATTCCACCGGCGTGGTGCATCGAGATCTAAAGCCACTAGGCTGCTGTAGATGAGTCACTAGATGAGTGGTTCCAGTGGTTCCATTTTCTCCCCCTCGCACTGACAGTCACTGACATGTGCCACATTGGCACATTACGGTTGTGGCACCCGGATTTTGTTTCACCACTCAGAGGCTCAGAGCTAAGACATTTGAGGCTTGAAAATTTCCTCTACGATTTCAAAGACAGCGACTTCTTGTACCTTGGCACAGCCTGGCAAAGGCTTGTATCCCATGGCAGCCCATGGCAGCCCATGGCAGGTGTGCGTCATCCCAAGATCATCTATTGGGTGTGGGCATATCAATTGGCGCTTGCGCCCCTGGCAGATTCCATCTTTTTCAATGGTGAATTCAGAGGTTGAAAAAAATGTCGCGTTTCTACGGATGGGTCAAATTCACCTAGTATGGGACATAAAGAATCGTTCCAAATTGGATTTTGGCAAGTCCTGCTGGGCATTTGTATGTTTGATGGTTGTATCTTGGTGTTTTTGGGGTAAAAAATCCCCATTCCTGGTATATCCGTTTTCTTGTGCACACCCTCCATTCCTTGGAGCCTTGACCAGGAAACTCATTGACTTTGGCTTCAGCAAGTTCTTTTGCATGAAGATTCTGGGAGTTAAAAAATGTCCTGTGGGCAGACGAATCGTTTGCCAATGAGAAGCACAATCCCCACCACTCTTAGTTCAGATGAGTTCCCAATCTGAGCGGGTCTTTGTTTGTTCCACGGAAGTGGTGATGAAAAATGGTGGCAGTGGGGATACACGAATCTGTAAACAAAATGGGATCTTCCCGGTGGATTCCCCTCCAACCCGATTGAATGGAGTGGAACTTTGACGTGGAAATATGTGGGCATTCAAAGATGGGGCCAATTCATCTTATCCCCGGGTTTGGAGAAAGACCTCATGCCACACAAGGGCATGGAGGTATTCGTTTCAAAACAGGACGACATTCCTGGCGATTCGAAGATTTATCGTGTTGAGAGTGCCCTCAGATCCCATAATCCTCACCCAGCACATCAGACATGTTGATGTTCAGTTCCATAAAGTTGCCATAAAATTTTGATGTTCAGCTAAAGTGCTCATTTTTTTGGGGATCACACTTAAATGGGCATTTCTCATGGCAACCAGGTCAGCCTGAGTCATGGGTACAGTCCGAAGGGTCTCCAGGGTTGCCACGGATCAGGAAAAAGATGAAAGAGGCCCTCGGCACAATTGCCTACGTTGCACCAGAGGCACGGTTGCATGTTGGCACGGAACCAATGGAAACCAAAAAAAACACCAAATGTTGGTGTTTTTTCATGGGATTTCATGGGAGGTACTGGGATAGAACATGATATTTTTCGGGATATTTAAGCAACAATGTGGCTATAGTGGGGATAAAACAACCACAACAGGGATATGATAGGGATACAATGGGAAGATTACCCCATTGTCAAACCATTGGTCATTTCCCATCAAAGTCCACCCATAGGGGCTAGTATACCAATCACGATGAATCACTTGTGGTGGAATGGCCATAGCTCATAAACCATGTTTTGACCATGGCACAAAAGATCTTTTTCCAGTACAACTTTGAGGACTCTGTAGTTCCATACCATAAAATCATTTTTGATCTGTATGGCTCTCTCGAGTTGCGGCATTCCAAAGGTCGCTCTCAGCGGTGGGGCGTCAGGTCCTGAAAAAGAGATATTCTGGCGGCTCTTGCGACATGTGGAGCCTGGGAGTCATCGTCTATGTGTTGTTGACTCTCGCCAGGGCTCAGGAATGGAACCTGTGGAGGACTATTAGAGCTGGCCAAAGCAATTGCATTGACTCTGAAAGCTTTGGAAAACACTTGAGAACTGGGTTTTCAGAGGTTTCTACAGTAGAGTGTTCAGTTTTGATCCCTGCGCCCCCCAAATGGTGCGAGTCTTACTCATCATTGGAGGCTTCTTTCAGGGATGAAAACATGATTGTGGTGTTTCTGCAAACGAGGAAACCTCCCAAAATTGGCGTCTCCGCCGGTTGTTGCTGTCATGGACATCCAAGGACAGGCGAGATGCCCTTTACAGGCGGGATTCCACAGAGTGACCAACAATTTTCAGTGGTGCAATCCACTTTCTGGGATCTTTCCTGATCTGTCAGTCCTCAGAGGTTTCACCAGCAACAGGCAAGTGCGATGTGGACGTGGCGACCGCTGTCATGAAGGGAAGTTACAGCTGGAAGGCCTCCCATCGCTTTCGCGTTTGCAAGGCTTGGGGTGGGGGAAACATCCCGGGGGCCACGTTTTGGCGTTTTTCTACCGAGTTGGTGAACAAACATAGGCAACTCGGAGCTTAGATGTTCCTAGGCTTAGATGCCCAGCTGGGTCGAGTGGGTTGGATCCAAACATGTGGAACCCTCTCAGGAAGGGAGAGACTTTGTAGACTCTTGGCTGCCGTTGAGCCACCTTTTCTCAGCATGGGAGACTGTTGCTGCAATATTCGCTGCGAAGACATCGCAATTTTTGTGGACATTTCCAAGGGAACATAAGGGAACCCGCATTTGTTTTTCTTCTATCTTTAGATCAAGTTTTTGGTGTTGACATGTTTTGACCTTCTTTGACAGCCACTTCACTGAATCTGAAGATATTATCTCAGCCTGAACTTAGACTGGCTTCACAAGAACATATTTCTTTTTTTCTCGTACCACAACCACCCCCATGTCCCGACTGCCTGGCAGTGTAGCTGGGCTGCAATTGGAGTTGGGGGTTATTTATGCGGACATAATCAGTTGGGATCTGACCTATTTCATATTTTCGCTTTAATGGCCACTTATCAACTGGAATTTCATGTTACATCCATATTCTCGAAAAATCAGCCAATTTTGTTGGTTCCTTCAGTTACACTCCCCATCAATAGCCATTTCCAAAAAGGCCGTCCTTTCTGGAGGCCCCCAAGTTGTACCGCTGGCCCCGTGGCCCTGTGGCCTTTCAAGGAGCGTCTGCTGGTCCTGGACGCCTCCAAACGACACACCGCCGAGGAGGCCCTGAGGCATCCCTGGCTGCTCTCCGTGAACGCCTCGGCTGAGAAGGTGGGGGGCTGTGGGGATGGGGGGCGACTAAGGGTGAGTGACTAAAAGGTGAAATATGATGAATATGATATACTTTTACTTATATTTATATATATATATGTTTGTATATACATATATATATATACACAGTATATATATATATATGTATGTATATACACAGTATATATATATATGATATACACAATACGTTACGCAAGCTATATTTGTTTGTAGGAGAAGCCAACGAACAGGGGCCTTAAGGACAACCCTTTCGCTCGGGTTGTTGAGCGGTTGCCGTTTGTGTGATGATCTTCCAAGGGTCCAATCGCTTAAATGCCCAGGGTTTAGCGACTATATACAGTAATGTTATATCCCAAATCTTTCGAATCAAATCCCTCATGTTTGTCTGGTTGGTGGTTTCAAACATTTTTTAATTGCCATAATATATGGGATATATATATATATAGAATTATATATATATAATCCTTCCCATTGACTTTCATATTTTTTCAACATGGTTAAAACCACCAACCAGTTGTTGTTTGACTCCCGCCAGGTGCATGGCAACACGGTGGTCACGGGCTTCCGGAACCTGGCAATGGCCAGCGACTTCCAAAGGCGCGAATGTTGGACGACACCACTTGTGGGCACCGTGGCAGAAATGACCCATTTCAAATGGAGCTTTGTCAATTTGTTAGGAAAAAACACCTATTTTTTTGGTGTTTTTTTGGTGTTTTTTTTATTTTTTATTTTTCAACATGCCATGTGACTACCAGAGGGTTTTTTGGGAATCATGCCCAAAATGGCAGATTTCATGAGCACTAAAGGTGACCCCGCGAGCTTGGGGCTTGGGGTTTTGTCACTAAGGGCGGAATTTCACGAAATTCTTGTTGGGAACCGTTCCATTTGTGAATCCCCAATCTCTGCCAGAAATCCAGCGTTGCGTTGACCCTAAGTTTCACCCTAATTCTTGCAGGAGTTGAGAAAACCCAAGATCCAAGTTTATGAAGATGTTTTTTTTAGTACAGCAAGCATGTGTGTGGGGTTATAACTTCTTTTTGATCACGTAGGTTTGTTGTATATTGAGCATCTATATCCGCATGAAAGATCCTATAGCCTATACGATCTATGCCCTACTTATGCCCTCTTGATATACCTCTTGATGTGTGACCGTGTACCAATGCAGGTTTTGGATGGTTTTGGTAGTGTATAAGCCCAAGAAATTGAGGAAAGAAACTGCATATTTATTCTAGAACCACATTAAACATTCGACGATAGGTTTCAATGACAAAACCATGGTTTTGTTAGATAAATTATGGGAAAACCGGCAAATTTGATGGTTTCGAAAGAACATTTCCCCATTCAAATTGCCGTTTGAGGCTACCTTCCATTTTCACATCCAATGATTCAAATCATCACAGGGTTGCTCCAGACCATTATAGGTGAATGATAGCCACAACGGGTGGAAAATAGATGATTTCACTTCTTTATTTAAACACTTTTCCATATTTCCCCTCAAATGTATCTGGGGCATTGTGAGCAACCATGAAATCATTGCCATGGAATATACGAATGATATATGGATCAAGCCATTCTATTCATCGGTAAGATCCACATTATTCATAGTGAATTTGCTATATTTTTTCGTTAGTTTTATTTGTAAAAAACCACAGTTTTCCACTGTGTTGAGTGTGAACCACCCATTTTTCACAATTTTTGATGGTGAAATCATCATTTTTCACAACGATTTTTCACCGTGAAACTCCAGCCCTCGCAGGGCGTGCCTGAAGGCAATGGCCTGGTCCTTAAGCCTGGCCGAACGGCGCCGCTTGCGGGGCGTTCCTGGGCTTTTTTCCAGACATTTTACAGGTCAAAAATGGGGATGTTCACTATGGTAAGTAGTGAAACATAGGGAATTTAAGCAACAAACATAGTTGGAAATGGTGGTTTCACCATCAAAAATTGTCAAAAAATGGTGGTTTAACCATCCAAAATGGTCAAACAAATTACCTGGTGCTTGAATCAGTAAAAATGGTGAGTTAAGCACAACAATGATGATTGATTTTTCATGGAACATCTACGGTTGAAACCATGGGTTTCACCACGACATATAGGATTTTTTGAACGAAATCTGGGAGTAGGTGGTTGATAAAACCTGGTGATTGTAGCTACTTCAGCCAGGGGTTGTCCCATTTATACACTGGGTTCTCATTCTTCTAATGAACATGACCAGTTGCAAAATGGGATGGGCCTCGTGAGCAGATCCTGTTGTTTTTTTTTGAGAACAATTGCCAATATGATTGCCAACAAAACTGGCAAAACATGGGATTTCACCAGCAAGTCATAGGAAGTTCGACCAACAAAAAGTCATAGGAATCACACCACGAAAATCTGGGGATGGAACTATCAGTTGCCAGGTTGATTTTGATTCCCACAGTGGTAGATCAAGCACCACAGCCACCAGTTGAGGTGTTTATTGACCTGAGCACTGGGGATGGAAAAGATGGTAGTGGCATCATCAGCAAGAGTCATCTGCAGGTGAGGGGCTTTGAGGACCTAGGCTTCAGGGCGAAACAGAAAGGTATCCAGCAGAAATTGGGCATGGTTGTTTTTTTTCCGTCTCAAAAGCGTTTTTTTTGTTTTTTGTTTTGTTTTTTTTCCCTTTTTTTCAAAGAGATAGTACACCAAAGAATTGGTTGGCAAACTTCCAAGATCAGCGCCACCTAAAATTGGGATGCCAGAGGCGAGGCTCCATGAATTCACAGTTTTGACGGCTCTTGCTCTTTTGAATATATTTTCCAAACTGGGAGAGCAGGAGCCTCACGTCACTCACAATAGCCTTGCAACAAAAGCCAAAACCGGTCGGAAAGACACTGCGATGCAGGCTTACATGCGGGCCCGCATTCCCAAAGAATCCGACGAGGACTGGAAGTTGGTTCAGGGTGCCCAAATGGTTGTGGGTTAAATGAGTCCAGACCCAGCTAATCGAATAGTTTGGGATGACCAATTTTGACTCATCTTCCAGTCCACTCAGATGAGTCAGATGAGTTTTTTGGGTCCAGTCGGAATTATCGAAGGAAGTTTAGAAGTCAAACTTCCGACAATATGGACAGATGAAAAGCAGAGCAGGGCAGAGGCAGAGAGAAGAGAAAGATTAGAAGAGAGAAGATCAGAGAAGAGAAAGAGTCAGAAGAAAGAAGATGCAGAAGCGCGAAAAGGTAGGAAAGTCGTGAAACACTGTGTTTTTCCAATCAATTGTGGCTCCGGAGGGTCGAAAAGTAGGCTCGCTAAAGCGGCGGGTGCGGAGCCATCTGGCCAGATGAGAGATGACAAATTGCACGCCGTTGTGGCGCGAAGCACATTTGCAAGTCAACATGTACAAAATACACCAGGTTCGGACCACTTTTGGAAGTTGAGATGTTGAAAAAGTGCACGCCGTTGCGGCGCGAAGCACATTTCGAAGCCAAAATGTGCATACAAAACACACCAGCTCCGGACCACTTTTGGAAGTTGCGATGTTGAAAAAGTGCACGCCGTTGTGGCGCGAAGCACATTTTGAAGTCAACATGTACAAAGCACACGAGCTCCGGACCACTTTTGGAAGTTGAGATGTCGAAAAAGTCAGGCCGTTGTGGCGCGAAGCACATTTTGAAGTCAAAAGTGCAAAAAACTGGCGGGTACGGAGCACTTTTGGACGTTCAGATGTGCTTTCGCGTGGCAGGCGCAAGGGATTGTGCACCTGGTCAAAAGTTAGCAAAACGTGAGGGTTTGGTAGCATTTCCAAAAGCGATGGCAAGCGTGGGACATTTGAAGAGGATCTTCATAGATACATTTCGCGTGGCAGGCGCAGTACAAAAGACATGTTCATCAGAGATGTTAGGAGGTCAGGGCGCTGATTTCCTGAGAGGGGTTGCATTTTGGAGCATCAGATCTTCAGGTTTGCTGAGATGATTTTGCGTGACAGGTGCAGCACTTCGTATGACGTGGCATCACTTGTTCGTGGCAGGCGCAGTACTTTCGACAGGTGGACTAGAAAAATCGCAAAACGCATTGGTACGAAGCTGTTAGCTCTGCACTCAACTTTCCATTTTTAAAGGAAGTCTCGCAGAATTGCTTTGTTTTTGATGTTGTCAAGTTGTAAAATTGAAGAAGTCTCGCAGAAGTGCTTCGTTTGTGATGTTGTCAACTTTGAAAAATGAGGAAGTCTCGCAGAATTGCTTCGTTTTTGATGTGGTCAACTTCAAAAAATGAGGAGGTCTCGCAGAAGTGCTGCGTTTTTGATGTTGTCAACTTCAAAAAATGAGGAAGACAGCGCTGCATTTTTGATGTTGTCAACTTGCAAAAATGAAGAAGTCTCGTAGAATAGCAAGGTTTTCAAGCTTGCGCAGATAGACAGGTAGATAGATAGATAGACAGACAGACAGACAGAGAGATCCATAGATAGATAGATAGATAGCTAGCTAGCTAGCTAGATAGAGATAGATAGAGATAGATCGAGATAGATAGAGATAGATAGAGATAGATAGAGATAGATAGAAAGACAGATAGATAGAAAGACAGATAGACAGATAGAAAGAGATAGATAGAGATAGATAGAGATAGATAGAGATAGATAGAGATAGAGATAGATAGAGATAGATAGAGATAGATAGAGATAGATAGAGATAGATAGAGATAGAGATAGATAGAGATAGATAGAGATAGATAGAGATAGATAGAGATAGATAGAGATAGATAGAGATAGATAGAAAGACAGATAGATAGAAAGACAGATAGACAGATAGAAAGAGATAGATAGAGATAGATAGAGATAGATAGAGATAGATAGAGATAAATAGAGATAGATAGAGATAGATAGAGATAGATAGAGATAGAAAGAGATAGATAGAGATAGAGATAGATAGAGATAGATGGATAGATAGATAGATAGAAAGACAGATAGACAGATAGACAGGTAGACAGTCAGACAGATAGACAGATGAAAGAGAGAGAGAGAGAGAGAAAGAGAGAGAGAGAGAGATAGATAGATAGATAGGTAGATAGATAGATAGATAGATGGCTAGACAGATAGATAGATAGATAAATAGATAGATAGATAGATAGATAGATAGATATAGATAGATAAATAGATAGATAGATAGATATAGATAGATATAGATATAGATATAGATAGATATAGATATAGATAGATATAGATATAGATAGATATAGATAGATATAGATAGATATAGATATAGATATAGATAGATATAGATAGATATAGATATAGATAGATATAGATAGATATAGATAGATATAGATAGATATAGATAGATATAGATAGATATAGATAGATATAGATAGATATAGATAGAGATAGATAGAGAGAGATAGATAGATAGATAGATAAGATAGATAGATAGATAGATAGATAGATAGATAGATAGATCGGTAGGTAGGTAGGTAGGTAGGTAGGTAGGTAGGTAGGTAGATAATCAGAGAAAGAGAGAGAAAGAGAGAGAAAGAGAGAGAAAGAGAGCAAAAGAGAGAGAAAGAGTGAGAGAGATCAATCACCTTTCAGTCCATCAGTGTATTCGCTCTGCCATCCGTGAGTCACAACAACCAACCTCTCCTATAGGTTTCCTATTTTTGAAACTTCCGCCACCGCCTTGTGCGGTACTACTGGCAGGTATTCATCATGGAGGAATGGTCATCTTCTGAGTGAAGTAGCTCGCGGATCCGCTGAATCCTGGTGTTTGCTTGGGTCTGCATCCCCCAGTTTTTTCGGATTGTACTTCGATTGTTTGCTGAATCCCAAGTCTTGTTGTTAAATCTAAATCTACTGGCGAAATGCAACTTTTTATTGGTCAAATTTCTCATTTCCGTTGCTCAAATCCCCTCTTTTTGCTCGAGAAATCTCGTCAAAAATGGGTTTGTCTTGCAAGGGGGGTACCTCTAAATCTGTGAATTATCAATTTTCCTTATCAAGATTTGGCAATTTTTGGTGGTATACCCTCCTTTCAGACACCCAAAAACGCCCTTTTCTCCAGGGCTTGGAGGAGCTCGCTGCGATGACCGCCAACTTGCCGGAGGAGTGGCCGAGCTGCAAAAGTTGGAGCCGTCCCTGAGGGATTTGACAGCTTTCGGAAGCAAACACATTGAAACATGTTGATTTACCATCTGGTTATTTAACATAACCATGGAAAACCCTTATAAATGGAGGTTTTAATGGGAAAATGATATATATATAAATGGACAATTTTCCATGGCTATGTTAAATAACCAGAGGGTAATCCAACTTTACCAGAAAGTGAACATCTAGAGGATTCCCCTGTATTTTGCTTACGGTAAGACCATTTTTCTGTTTCCAATTTTTCCTCAAACCAATGATCCCAATGAAGTATTTGAATTGTTAATCCCCTCATCCCCAGTCTTTTTGCCATTCTGCAACCAGTACATCAACAAAGGCACGGCCATCAGCACCTCGGCTGAGGATCCATTACAGTGACTTTTTGGCTGCCATGATGGCGTTTGAGCTCGACGAACACGAGGAGACGCCAAGACACAAAGGAATGTGGCGTTTTTTGTTTTCTGCTGAATGGATGGATTGTTGCTGTTTTTTTTGCTGATTGTACTTGATGATGTTTGATGATGTTGCTGACTTTTGATGATGTTTGATGATGTTGCTGAGTTTTGATGATGTTTGATGATTTTGCTGAGTTTTGATGATGTTTGATGATTTTGCTGAGTTTCGATGATGTTTGATGATTTTGCTGAGTTTCGATTATCTTTGATGATTTTGTTGAGTTTCGATGATGTTTGATGATTTTGCTGAGTTTCGATGATGTTTGATGACTTTGCTGAGTTTCGATTATCTTTGATGATTTTGTTGAGTTTCGATGATGTTTGATGATTTTGCTGAGTTTCGATGATGTTTGATGACTTTGCTGAGTTTCGATGATCTTTGATGATTTTGTTGAGTTTCGATGATGTTTGATGATTTTGTCGAGTTTCGATGATGTTTGATGATTTTGCTGAGTTTTCGGTGATGTTGAATGATTTTGCTGAGTTTCGATGATGTTTGATGATGTTGATGAGTTTTGATGATGTTTGATGATTTTGCTGATTTTTGATGATGTTTGATGATTTTGCTGAGTTTCGATGATGTTTGATGATGTTGCTGAGTTTCGATGATGTTTGATGATTTTGCTGAGTTTCGATTATCTTTGATGATTTTGTTGAGTTTCGATGATGTTTGATGATTTTGCTGAGTTTCGATGATGTTTGATGACTTTGCTGAGTTTCGATGATCTTTGATGATGTTGCTGAGTTTTGATGATGCTGCTGAGTTTTGATGATGTTTGGTGATTTTGCTGAGTTTCCATGACGTTTAATGATTTTGTCGAGTTTCGATGATGTTTGATGATGTTGCTGAGTTTGGATGATGTCTGATGATGTTGCTGAGTTTTCATGATGTTTGATGAATTTGCTGAGTTTTGATGATGTTTGATGATTTTGCTGAGTTTCGATGATGTCTGATGATGTTGCTGAGTTTTCATGATGTTTGATGATTTTGCCGAGTTTTGATGATGTTTGATGATGTTGCTGAGTTTCGATGATCTTTGATGATGCTGCTGAGTTTTGATGATATTTGGCAGTACTGTATACATATCCTGGGTCAGCATGATCTTATGCTGAGCCAATAGTTTATGCTTCATGAAGTGGTGAATCTGTATTGTTACGGCGGCCACGGGTTGGCCAAGCTGCCTGAAGTGTGCAACTGATTTTGTAACTGGATGACATTCCCAAACACAATTGGGACATATTGGGCCAATCATACGCAACCCAGTCATTGGCGCCAGTTCAAGGGTTATATATATAAATATAAATAGAGTTCCCCTAACCTTTGGTTGGGTTAGAACCGCATTTGCTGTCGAAAATTACATACTTCCCTAATATATATATTTTTGTTCCGCTAAATACGTTGTTTTTTTGAATATATTTTTTTAAAGGTGTTGTTTACTTCCGTCCAGATGTTCATCCGTTTCATTCCTCTTTTTTCCTTAGTTTTACAGCCACTTCAAGACGACCTCACCATTAATGATTTCTAGTCAGGGAAACACCACAGAATGGACCAACATTGAGGTTTGTGAGGGCATTGTTGATTTGCAGATAGATGAGACTTGGTCAGGGAAATCATTCCAAACTAGCCCACAATCAGAATTTTGTTCTTTTCCTTCTCCAGATCATACCACCCTAAGAGACCAACAAGGAACAGAAGAGTGGCAAGTTGCAACTAACCAATCATCTTCCAAACACAGTTCTTGAGGAGCTCCATGTTGGTTTGTCTGAAAATAGGCTACCCCCAAATATCCTGTATCATCCTGTACCCGATGGCTGATCATCATTTTCCCCATGAAATCGCTGTCAAATAGAGTATGCCGCGCATCCTTTTCGGACAGACCCAAATAGGGTAAATTCCATTGATTGCGCGTTGAATCCCCATTTATTGCGACTTAAATCATTCAAAACCCAATTGATTGTTGATTCAACTGACCATTTTTTGTGACCCAACTTAGTTCAGTCCGGATTCTTGCATATTTTTCTTGGTTTAACCACGTTTCATCCCATTTTTTGTGGGTTCAATGACTTTCACTCGCTGTGTTTCACAGCAGAAACGTCCGCAGGACATCGTCCGCTGCGCCTTTCGGCACTTCGACCAGGAGGGATCTGGGAATGTGACGCCTGAGATCCTGACGGAGGCGGGTATCATACATGGGAGGATCTACTATGAGATATTCGATCATATATATATATACGGCACACACACATATATATATGTACATATATATATATATATTAATGGGAACTTGTTTTATTTTCGTTCATGATATTTATATAGATAATATACGGTATGGGATATATATATACATAGGTATATATATATAGTATATGTAATATGTATCATCTATAGTAGTTTAGTGGGATATTAGATAATATTCTGGGATTATATGGGACAATCTATCTACAATGTATGCGATATACATATTTAATAAGTTTATTTTTAGTCATGGGGGATCCCCAAGTCACCATGGTTGTTTCAATACTAATTCAGGGTCTAATGACTTGGATGATTTCGGGGTACCTCCGTGTCAGGAAGCCCCCATATGGCGTATTATTGGGATATTATATATATATATATACATATAGATAATATATACATGATGTGGGATACTCTAGGATTTTAACATTAGATAATACATGGGATCTATCTATCTATATAGATATATATAATATATACACTATTATATAATGATGGGCACTTAATGTTTATTCAGCGAGATTTCATATACGAGATATTCATTGCGGGAGTACTAGGGAAGTTGCCCCGTGTATAATTGGCAGTTTCCTATTGGGGACCCGACAAGGAATGATATCAGGACCCATATTGGATTCGGGATATAAAATTGCGAACGCTGTAAGTGCCTTGGATGACCTTATCTGTCCGACAGAGCGGTCTAGAGCAGTATCCACATTCCCCACTAAATGGGGAGCCAAGGAGCTTCTAGGAGGTTCCCAACCACACAGTAATTTTTTTTCTAAAGACTTGGATAATATCAAACACACTCTTAGAAACCAGGGTTTAATAGGGAATTTCCACATAATTGGGACCAATTAGAGGGGGTGTTTAATATTAGAGGGATGGGGATTAGTCAAAAACCCTGGGTCAAAGTTATTATGACCCAGGACCCAGGGTACGTCCCATTCTGACACGAGATTTGGATTTACAGTAAACATACGGTAAGTTTGAAGCAACAAAAAAGGCGGAGATTAAACCTCTTTATGACCGCAAGAAAGAGCGCAGCAACATTTGGAAATGATGAGTTCAGCAAATGGGATTGCACACAGGGATTGTAGACATGCTTTCTTCATTGTCAGTAGCGGAGGCCGCGATACTGCAACTGCACATGTAGATAGAAAGAAAGGGCATATGATGACTCATGTACAGTACACCAAACAACTTTTGGAAAAGAGGCCAAGCATGGTGGGTACATCTCGTAAACTATGGCGTCATGGCGTCATCCTAAAATCTGCCATTCTCCGTTTGCCCGGGGGATAGGCTCCAATTTTTGGCCCGGTATAGTACAGGGAATATCATGATAAGCGATGAACCATGGAATATTAGGGTACCATATCTTGGGCAAACCCAAACCTATCAGTGTTGACTATGTCCTTCAACTAATGACTTTTTGCAAATCACTTCAGTGTCTCGCTACTTGAATCAGGTGCTGGGGACGGACGTAGACGTGTCATCGATTTTCCGAGAAGCTGACATAGACCAGGACACGTGGTGAACGGGTTTTCGCCCAAAGCATCTAAGACATCCCAATGCGAGGCGAAAACATCACGTGCGTCCACCTCTGAGGGATATCCCATTATCCATTTGTAACAGAGTATAATTTCCAACATTTCCACCTTTGAATTCATCATTCCATTCCGTGGGGGTGCATCCCCGGCATCGTTGAAATGTGGGTCATCACCATCTTATTTCAGCCAGATTAATGGGTTAATCCCCGATGAAAGACAGGCTTGTTTCTATGGCTCAGTCACCATCCAATTGATAATGATGCTTCTACATTGACCGTTCACGATTCCAGCCAGTTATATTCCCAGTGGTAATATCAGCCGAAATTTAGACTCAGACCGCCAGTCGACCATTGGTTGAGATTATATAGGGACTATATCTGGATATTTGGTCAACTATATAATCCCATAGTCACTATAACATCGCGGATATTGATGATATAGTGACCATATGGTCATTATATATATATACACATATTATATATATATACACAACATATATATATACATACACATTGTATATTTTTATATACACATTGTATATATACATACTGTATACACATTATAAATACATACACTATATATATATATACACATTATATATCTATATACACACACTATATATATATATACACATTGTATATTTTTATATACACATTGTATATATATATATATACATTATATATATACACACTATTTATATACATTACATATATACACTATATATATATACACATTATATATAGATATGTGTTCCCCTATGGATCCATTTTTCCCCATCCCCTCTAGGATGGCCACATCTCGCTCCACGACTTCGTTCTCTACTTGGGCCGCATCACTGACCTGCCTCCTGTGGAGACGCTGGCGAGCTCCGAGACGTGGCAAATGCCCAGGGCCTTGGGGGCGCTGGGGGCGCCGGTTCAGCAAAACATGGGTGCAAAACATGGGTTAATCATGGGTTAATGGTTAAGAATGCCTAGTAATGGTTAAGAACGGCTGATCATGGGAAATTTAATGGGAATATAAAGGGGATATAGCCTTGATATAAATGGAATCTCATACAATTACATCGTGGTAGTTAAACATGGCAATTGAACACCCCCGAACAAAATGGAGGTTTTCAATGCAAATCGTCACTATGTATAAATGGAGGATTTTTTCGTTGCCACGTTTGATTACAAGAGGGCAAACTGATTTAACCAACAAACATGGTTGATTTGATCAAGAAAAAATAGGGATTTATAGTACCCTCTGGTAAACTAACATAGCTATTGAACATGGCGATTTATAGTGGATTTACCAATTGAAAATGGTGATTTTCCATAGTTATGTTAGTTTACCAGAGGGTACCATATATATATATATTCTTTTAGACTGGGCTGGAACTTGCCCGTAGTCGGGTTCGTCTCTAAGATGGGGGGTTTAGCCCCAAGTTATGGCCAGTGAAAAAAATGGGATGATGATCATTCCTCAGATTTGTTCCCCATTTTGTTTGGGGGTAATTTTTTGGCATCTAAGATTCATGTCTTTTTGGGTGAATGTTTGCCAGAGTGGATAAATGGAATGATGTAAGCCTGAAAAAGCAGAGGATTTACATGGCTTCACAATGTTTCGTGGTAATACAATCGTTTTCCTGTAGCGTTTCACTGAAACCAATGGGTTTGCTTTGACAACTTAATCTGGAAGTTGAAAAGTTGGCAATTTTTAGATGGTTGGTTGTATGGGAAACTGCAGAGGATGGATATTTCACACAATTTAACTTGGTCGCAAGCTAGTTTAACCTCTGTTGGGGGTAGTTAGTTCAGCGCAATTCTGGCGGGGGCGCCTGATTGAGGGATCCCAGGTGTATTTCTTCTGATTGTTCTTCAAGGGTTTCAAAAAAGAGAGGCGTGAATCACAGCGTGTTTCGTTTCCAATTTTTTAAGTGGTTAGGTGGTGTTGAAACACGAGACCCTCTTCCATCTCTCTCTCTCTATCTCTATACACCATACTTTATAATGCTATTTATGCCGGTATGAACACTGCACTCAACCACCAATACCCGTTGTTGGTTAACGCGTAAACAGTTGTGCCATCATGCTGTATTGGGACCGCCGTGGATCGTTGTACCAAAGCGCCGAATATTAAAACAACGCAGCTATGTGCAGATCTAAAGCAATTGATGATTCAAATCATGTTCTACTTCCCATTCTTCTGTGGGAAGAGGATCTCAATTGACATCTGCAATGGTTTGGAACCACGACTCAATACATCTAAAATAGTGTACATCCTTTGCGCTTTGCAAATCCACCGAGCACTCTCCCTAGGAAGCGTTGCAGCTGGAAGAGAGTCAGCCAGAAAAGGTGACTCGAAAAGACCGCTTGCGTCGTGCCATCAGATCTTGGCTTCAAAAATTGCCTCGCGGCTTTGAACGCGGCAAACATCCGGTCCCAGGGTAGGCGGCCGTTTTTTTTTGGCTCGGAGTTGGGTGAGATCCAAAACTGGGTTACCCGGGACAAGGCACACCCAGGGTTTGTTCAGTTTGAAATCCACCCAGTTTTGGACCTACATTGGTTTTGATCAAGAGAATGGCAGTGTTATCACTGGGACTGCTGGTGATGCATCGCAAGGATTAACCTGTTACTGTCCTGGGCCGTGCAACAGTGATGGGCCCCTGGCACTTCCAAATTTAGCCCACAACTCGCATTATATAAGTCTAATGGCAAATTCCAAGGAAAATGGGCAGACTATAGCCTCATTCAAGCAGCTAAAACTTGATCGCCCGTCCAGAGTGGTGTTCATCATCCTTTCCTTGCTGCCGTGCCCATCATGGTTCACCTGGCTCCTTGCAACTATGTACATGTCCGGGAGTTTGCATCCCAGAGCCATTGCACAGAGTGGCACTTTCTTTGTACAGGGCGGTTACACCTCCGCCAAGCTACAGAAAATTCGCCATGGCCGCGATTTGTTGTATATGATTTTTGGTTCAAGAGTTAAGGCCCCCTAAAATCCTGATTTTCAGTACCTTTTTTGGGTCAAGAAATGTTTCTGACGCATTTGGGTGGGTTTGGTCATATGTTGGAGGGAACATCCAAAAAAGTCAGCGAGGAAGTTTGGAAAAAGTCATGTGATGGTCGAAGCTATAGGCCCTGGAAACCATGAATTTGAGGTATTCTCAGTAACATTAACCACATTAACCATCCAATTTGAGTTGGAGGGCCCAACTGTGACACCCTCATGTCCCATTTTGGGTCCCACCAAGGCTGGACAATAGACAAACCGACAACCCAACAAATGTTCATTCCAGGATCAAGTGGTCATTGGCCGACCATTTGCTAATTATCCATCATCCAGCAATCACCAATGATATTACGAAAGCCAGCTGTCAAGCATGGCGAAGTTGGTCATTGCGAACGAAGTGAGAACAGGGGGTCTGGGGGGCGGTCGTCTCCAAACAGACGCATTTGACGCTTTTCCCCACCTAATTAGGGTGGCCACCGTGGTCGATTTTGCGGCTCATGTACCAGGTGGCAATTGGGTGACGGTGGGGTTCGATTCCCCCCCGGTCCGTCCTCTGACGTGCATTTGGGGTGAGTGGAATGGAGGGTAAAAGGATGCAAAAATGGAGTCAAAGCAGAACAGAACAATGGAAAAACGTGGAAAGAGTAATGGAAGAAGAGAGGGAATGGAAGGAAAAAACAAAGGGGACGGATTGAAGTTTTGGGGCGGGGTGTACGATGGGTGGAAAGTTGGAGGGCCAAGAGGGTGGCTTGGGCGGGCTCTTTGGGGCGTGGGCAGGCAATGTGGAGTGAGGCTCTTTTAGGTAGCTGTTGGGAAGCAAAGGAGCCCGCAGGGTGAAGGGTGTAAGGTGTGGGAGTGTAGAGTGTCAAGTTTAAAGTTTAAAGTGTAGAGTGTGAAGTGTAAGTGTAGAGTGTAGAGTGTAGTGTGTAAAGCGCAGAGTGTAGAGTGTAGAGTGTAAAGTGTAGAGTGCAAAGTGTAGAGTGTGAGGTGTAAAGTATGGAGTGTGGAGTGTAACGTGTAAGGTATAAAGATTATAAAGTATGGTGTGTAGAGGGAAGAGGGTAAAGTGTCAAGTGGAGTGTGTAAAGTGTAGAGTGTGCGGTGTGGAGTGTAAAGCGTAGAGTGTAAAGTCTAGTGTGTAAAGTGTGGAGTGTGGAGTGTGGAGGCTGGGCTGTAAAGTGTACAGTGTAGACTGTAAAGTGTGGAGCGTGGAGTGTAAAGTGTGGAAGCCAGGCAAGGTGAAGGTACTTGTCGGAATGAAGTCAGAGCAGAAGATGTGGGGAAAAAGGGAACCATTGGAGGAGAGAAAGCGAATGGGTACAGGGAGTGAAGTGCGAATTGTTATGCAAGTCTTTCAAGTCGTCAAGTGAAACCTCAACGCCATTGCAATCAACTGTTTTGAGTTTACGGCATGATTTACCGTTTTAGACTGTGATGGACTTTTTTGGCTTCACGACGATGGCTCGGTGGACATTTTTCACTTTTTCAGACGCAGCGCCGTATACCATTGTAATACCACACACAAATTGTACCCTTCGGCTTTGTGAAGACCATTCGGATCCTTGGTTTTTCGAAACAGACTCGATGATTCCATATTTGTTGACAACTCAAGAAGTCCAAAAAATGTGGCACGGCAAAGGTACATAGATTAAATTCCTTTTAGAGATAGCGAGTTAAAACCTTTACCCCATTTCAGCCCGACGGTGCCAAGAGGCAATACCAAGAGCTCTGCACCTAGGGTGCAAGCTGTCGATACAACTTTAGCCTTTGAAGTCTCACCCAAGCGCAATGTCTCGCAATGATCTCACGATAGAAATTGTCCACAGATATCATCACGAAACTTCAGCGAACATATAGGGAGCCTGTTGCCATGCGCAGGACATGAGACATGGATAGACATGGTATGCTTGGTACAAGCAGCAAACAGTACTGGCGGTACATATGGTTCGATTGGAAGGAAGAAAGGGCGTGGCTTGGGGATGCCATTTGGAGTGATACTCTTTTAAGTAGCTGCTCCGAAGCAAGGGGGCCCGCTGGGAAGGGGGGGGCAAGTTGTCGATGGGTGCTGATGCCCGGCGGTAGGACAGGAATATAAAATGTAAAGTGCAACGTGTACGGTATGGAGTGTAGAGTGCAGAGTGTCGAGTGTAAAGTCTAGTGTGTACAGTGTCGAGCGTCGAGTGTGGAGTGTAAAGTGTAGAGTGTAAAGTGCAGTGTGTCAAGTGTACAGTGTGTGGCGTGTCAGGCGTAAAGTGTGTCAAGTGCACAATGTAGAGTGTAACGTGTAGAGGGCAAAATGTGAAGTGAAGGGTGTACAGTGGCAAGTGTAGAGTCTGGAGTGTAGAGTGTAGAGTGTCCAGTGTAGCGTGTTCAATGTAGAGTGTGCAGTGTAAAGTGTGGAGTACAGCGTGTCAAATGTGCAGTGAGGCGTGAGGGCTCTAAAGTGTAGTACAGTCTAGTCTGTCAAGTGTCGACTGTGGACTCTGAAGTGTATATTGTCCAGTCTACACTCTAAAGTGTCGAGTACGGAGCACCCGCCCGCCTTCCCGTCATTTCTCAAACACACCACGGAGCTTCTTTCTCCACCGCGCCCGCTTCCCCTTCTTCCTTGCCTTCCCTGCCGCCGACGCGTCCTCTCCCCTTCCGGGCTCCTTTGCGCCCCGTCCGCTCTTGAAACGACGCTCTCTTCATCCTTCCCGACCTTTCCTACACTTCTTCCCTCCGCTCCTTCTTCCTACACATTCCTTCCTTCTCTGCAAGGGCTCCCCGCACCCACACCCAACACAGCCTCACCCCGCCGGCCCCTCCGCCCCCTCCCCGATTTTTCCCCCACTAACCCCCCGCCGCACTCCCTCCCATGCTCTCCACTCTCCTGTCCCCGTTCAAACTTGACCCTGGCTTTCGTCCCCTCTTCTCAGGTATAAATTTCCAACATTTCCCAACCATTCACACAGCATTTACCCTCTGATAATCCAACATAGCCATGGCTTCCATGGCATGTTTCCACAATCGCTGCAGGCCCGGTGGTCCCGGTGCCCGAGCCTATGACGCCTCCGAGGCATTCACGGCAGAGGATCGTGCCAGGTGGGAGATCTCAGCCCAAAAAGATGGAGAAATAGGACACTCCTACTGAAATAGTTGTATATATATATTATATATATACTGTATATATTATATATATACTGTATATATTATATATATACTGTATGTATGTATATATATATGTACATACATACATACATACATACATACATACGTACATACTGTGAAACCAGCATCCTGGCACCAAGCGCAAGAAAACATGAATGGAAGATGCAACCTGTCGCAGCTCAACGCACATATACCATGGGCCCAAAATTGGGGCCACAAATTTGGAAGCTGGGCTACTAACTTTAGTATTGTGGCCCCATTTTTGGGTCCAGAATCTGGCCCCTGTTCTGGGGCCACAAAACACAAACAGGAGCTAGTCAATACGGGCAGCAAGTGTGCTACTGCCGACGCAAGCTGACAGCAGCACATATCCGTGATACTGTATATATATATACATAACCATTTCTATCTTTTTTTGGTTGCTATAAACTGGGCTTTGGTACAAAAGAAGTTGAAAAGGATTGAAGACGACAATCTTTTACAGTATGTTTGATGGGTATCTTGAAGGTCTAGGTGTTGGGGCTCCCGTCATGGTCAATCTGGGCCAAGTCTAAAATCATGATACCTCAAAAGTGACCAATCGGAGATTTCCATCAGCGATACTTTTTTGCATGGCTTTGCCTATGGCCTGAGATGATCATCATTTCCCAATTTCAAAAACCCAGACATGGCAATTTTCCCAATTTTCATCATTTTTTCCCCAATGGTTTCCCAATTTTTTTCCCAAGATCTACCGTAGTCGACCGACATTCGTGCACGACTTGAGGCTCCTGGAAAAGGCACTCACCTGAGGCTCCTGGGTAGTGGTCCGTCCCAAAAAGATGGTCTCAGTCAAACAAAATCCCAGGTATGCCATAATATATATATATGTATATGTATATGTATATATATATAGTTATATGATATATAGTTACACGCACACATCAAATCAACATATTGATCATTCTGACACATTCTGACACATTTCGGCGTTTTGAACCCAGTTTCCCATAGATTTCCGCTTGGACCTCCTTTTTGTGACAGATCTCCGTTGGGGACGTCCGCTCCTCCAAGCTGGCCACGCCCCGGTCCACTGAGACGCCGTGCGAAGCTTGGAGCTTATCATTGTGATATATTGCCACTATACAATAGTGAATACTAGTAGTAATAATAATTATTATCGGTATATATCAGTATGATGAGCATTATTATTATAATTATTACTTATTACTATGATGTAATACTAGTAAATATTCTTGTTATTGTTACTATTATATATTATCGTTATTTTTTGTTTCTTCTGAACATTTAATGATCATGCCCCTTCTCTGATGACTCAGGCGACTGACATCTCCAGATGTAAGACCGATCTTGCTGCGGACTCAGTGCCTGTGTTTCCGCAGTCAGATTCTGATTGATGAAGTGGGAAATGCTGGAAAATGCGTGCTTTGCCTCCTAAATGGGGGCTTCTCGTTGATGAAGTGGCCATAAGTGGGGTTTTTAAGGGGAAACGAAGAAGAGTTCCAGCGAAACTTTCTGTTACAAAATCTACACCAGAAATCCACTTACACTTCGGGGATCAAATCACAGTAGACCTCCGATTGTGCACTGCGATTTGACCTCCGATCTAGTGCCTTTATTCATCTCTTCCCTGGACGGAGCGGAGTAGTTTCTGGTGACATGGGGAGCAAAGCCATAGGGTTTTCTCCTTGGTGGATCCGATCAAGACTCAAGACCCAACAAAGGATGCCACTTTTCTGTATCGGCAGCACACTTTAAAGGAAACAGCAACCAAACAACTTAGAGGTTATATAGCCATCTTCCCACCAGGTTTTGTTGGCGATACTTCCACTTGTGGTTGTACTCCCTTGACTTTTGTTTGTTCTTGGGTAATGTAACACTGCCAGCTGGAACATCAAGTTATTTGTATATATATATATATATACAGACGATCTGCCTGTTAGAACTGAACATTTCTGGTTACCCTTTCAACCTGACTTGGCTACAGATCTGGGCCCGACAGGGGACCCATTGGTGGTGACACTGTGACACCGATCGAATGGATGGTTGATCATCATTTTCACGTCAAAATGGCCATAAGTTAGGTAAATTTCTCATTTTCAGATAAACACACATGTATCCATTTTAGGTTCAGCTTCTCTGCCAGATCGTGTGAGTAGGAGTCCCAAATGATGTCAGCGGTCTTGTTAGTTTCACCAGATCTGGAATTGTCAATGGGGAATAACAAGAAAAGGCACTGGGTACTGGCATATACAAGCCAACAAACATTGGGATGCAGCATCATGCAACGTACCAAGAAGCAACAGGTACCGTACCAGTGCACGGGCTGCAAGCACGGCATGATTTTTTGAGCAAGATCATAATTATTGAAGCAATGCCAGAGAGCCCTCAACTCCATGACCCATATCCAACGTGATGGCCATCCAGCCCCAGTTCTTTGGGTAATCCGTCGTTTCCTAACTATGGTTAAACCCATCCCATTTCTCGGAACGCCATTAATCTCCGAGGGCAAAGGAACTTATACCAGTGTATAACTGTCGATCCCATCTGCAGCTGGCCCGGCTCGGGAAGTCACAACCCAGTTTTGCGTTTTCTCGTGGATGGCCGGCGTTGGTGCGGCCCCCGCATGGCCGGCGCATGGCCGCACCCGGCGCCTCCGGGTCAGCCGGAGCTGGGAACGCCAACGCCGACGGAGCCTCCGAAACATGGGAGCTGGTGAGCAAAGCCACAGATGAAGAGCTGAAGAGAAGGAGGAGTCCCATCCTCTTCGCAGCATGCACTGGGGATTTCATTCTCACTGGTTCTTGCCGACCAATGGTTCAGCTCTGGCGCTTGGGAGAGGGAGAGATAACACACCATGGAACGCTGAAGTCGATTGCTGCTCCCACCTGCATCGAGTGTGCACAGGATCAAAATCAGGAGCAGTGTGAAAAGAAACTGGGTGGACGGGTAGCCTGGGGGCCCTACTACGAAGAATTGGGGATAATCCACATCAACTCCCTGCAAAGCCCCAAAAAAAACTCCGGTAATGTGAGGTTGGAAAATCCCACATTTGTATGCATTTGTACGTATTTTTTCGACTTTTTCGGAAGTTTGGTCGAAGTTTGGTCATTTTTTATGGCCATGGTTTGTTTAATTTTACACTCGCACCCCGTTGGGGGAAGACTCAACTGATCAGCTTCGCCGCAGGTGGCCATTTCTGCGCAGAATGGCCAAATTCTGCTCTTTGATCTGCGGGAACAGCAACGAGCTGCGACTATCCTACCGTCTACCATGGCTCAAGCGACCACTGTGGCCCGTTTTGGAAATGGATAGGTGAGATCAACCCGTGTTCTTTTTTGACGCTACATTCCTCACTATGTACTGTATCTAATGGACACTCACATATATATATAATATAATATATATAATATATATATATAATATATATAATATATATATAATATATATATACATATATATACATGTGTATATATATACACATATATCTACATATATATATACATATATCTACATATATATATCTACGTATATATATATATATCTACGTATATATATATATGTACATATATCTATATCTATATATATATCTACGTATATATATATATCTACGTATATATATATATGTATATATATATCTACGTATATATATATATATATGTATATATATATATCTACGTATATATATATATATATGTATATATATATTTATACATACACATTATTATTATTATATATATATATATGTACATACATACAATATAGTATTTATATGTCAATGTTTTTTGGTAGCATAATTTCATTTGAATCTGAGCACCATTGATTCCAGTTCCAGCTGACCTGCATCTTGATGGATGCATCATTGGCCAGGTTTACCGTGAAACCCATCCATGTATGAAGTGGAAAGTTCCTTACCAAAGCATCTGGGGACAAGTGTATAGATAGATACAGTACCCTTTTTTTGTTGCTCTCCTTCTCTCTCTCTCTCTCTGCATACAGTGCTATGCTTGACTGTCTATACAGGCACCACAAGATACAGGCTCATGAGCTATCCATAGAATAGTGGACTTCAATGAGAGATTGAGAATCTGCTTGGATTCAAGAAGCCCCGTGCTGATCAAGGCTCTGTGGAGTCGTGTCCTGAAGATCCTAGTCTCATGACATAGGTTGCTTCATGCACCATCAGCAGCCCTTACTTTGCTGACTGACCTTGACCCTGCAGACACGGCAGTGATACTGTGGATGGAAGAAATCCTGCACCAGTTGGGTAGATGGTTTATCCGATTTTAATCCCATTACAGTATTTACAGTGTTTCATAGTTATCCAATAGTTACCAGCTGCAGAATTTCTTCCATCCACAGTATTTACCAATTTCAAGAGCTACAGCAATCCTACGTCCTACTGTCCTACATCCATAAATTGGCAGATGGTTTCATTGCCATAGTTGCCGTAGCTGCAGGTCTGTTTTGTGGGCGATAGTCATCGCTTGGCTACGGGTGGCTGCTCTGGGAAGCTCTGTCTCTGGGACCTGCGACGGCCGCACACGGTGGAAGTTGAAATTCCTCCCTATCTCGATCTAAATGGTGCCGCCAAAGAAGAGAATGGCGAGGCCGCGTCAAAAGCCAGATAAGCCAGCGATTTTGAGGTGAAGAAAAGGGTGGGTTTTGATCCACAGGCCCTGTCACAAGAGCTGTGAAGGAAAACTCAGTACCGACCGGAAACTTCTGAAATAATCGAAGATAGAACGTTTTGAAAAGGAAAAAAGCAAAAAGGGAAGCTGACTGGGAAAAAAGGAAAACGAGGGAACAGAGATTCGTTCCTTTTGCAATTTTTCCTTGTTCTTTTATGTGTTTTTGCCGGTTCTTTTCTTGTTTTAATTTTTTTCACGTAAGGTGGAAAATTGAAGAAACGCTTGGAACATGGGAAAAAGACAATAAGGAAACAGTAAGGACCCCCGACTCACACACACACACAGACACAAGGAAAAGAAAACGAGACGGGACTACTCGTTCCTTTTTTTTCATTTGTCCCTTTTTCTTTTACATATTTTCCTTGATTACACTAAATCGATGCTTTTTCCGTATCCAATGTTTTTCCTTTTACCTTTTAGCCAAGGTTCCTCACTTTCCAGTCATAGGCTGTCGCTGCGGCTCAACTTCGGAAACTCACCATTGTTAGTCTGGATACTACACCTTCTTAGCGTTTTTCTCTCAAGCTCCTTAGAAATCCACTTCCAAGCTGCTCGAGGATTTCTTCAAATGAGGGACAGCTATCATCCAAATCATCCAAGTGGTCATTTTCATCGGCATTTCCCTGGTTTCGGGGCAGCCTCCTGCCCTGGCCTCCCCAAAACCCTCCAGGTGGGGCGTCCATCGAATCCATCGAATCCGTCGAAGCGGCGCCGCGAGGGCAGCACCGAGCCCCCGGAGACGCCGGAGGTCAGCCATCGGATCAGCAGTTTGTGCGCCAGCCACGATGGGCAGCTCATAGCCTGTGGACGTGACTCAGGAGGGAAGGGATGGGAAGGGAGTGACTTGGGTGGATGGCCAATTGTTTCTGGCAAAGAATTCGATATCTGAGTGAAGTTTTTGGATGTTCGAAGATTTCATGGATTTTCATGGCAATTAGAATGGGTGCAATTTTATGTCTCCTCTTTTTTATGGCAATTTCAATAGGTAAAATTGATGTTAAAGAATTTCATGAGTGTGATGGGTAGAATTTGATGTTCCAGAATTTCATGGCAATTTCAATGGGTTGAACTTGTTCTAAAATCTTTGACGATTTGAATTGGTAAAAGATGATGTTCTGAAATGCATGGCAGTTTGAATTGGCCAAACCTGATCTGCTTGATTTCCACTGGCAATTTTGATGGGTCAGATTCGACGTCCGCATGTTTTCTACTGGCAATTTTAAGGGGTAGAATTTGATGATTCAACATTAACAATTACAAACGATGGGATTGGATAAGGGTTCCAAATTTTTGAGCAGCAAAATGACCTTCCGAACCACAATTTTTTGGTCCACGCGGCGATGGTTGGTCGATGGTAGACCTGTCACTTTGGGGTAAATCAATGTGAATCAACATCGGTCTCGAGGTCGATCTAGCGGGGTATGATGAGCCACCAATGGCAATTTCACTGTGTAATTCTTGTGGGTAAACTATGAGATTTCAAGCCCAAAAGATGAGGGGACCGTGGTTCCAAATTTTGAGGCACCCCATCTCGATCCTCAGCTTTGGAGCGTCTGAGAATTCAATTTTTCCCCATTTCCAGGGATGAATCCGACGAAAGAAATACATACCTATGTTAGGAATCGATTGGAACTACCCGGTAGTTACCCGCCAATCATTTCGGGGGACCCTGCGAAGTGAAGCTTCACAGGCTACGTAGCACTCTTACGGCTACAAACGCTGCAATGGGTGGCTCAGTGCTTGTTTTTTGCACTGATTTTCTTCTTTTCCCCCACCAAAACAGGAAAAGTCCAGATGGATTTTGCAATTTTCTGGGTTGATGAAAGTTACAAACCAGGTGACCGGAGATGTTGAGGCTCATATGAAAGGAGGTACAGTGAGATCACTGTCCTTTGATCAGAGATCAAGATTTCTCCTTTCTGGAGGCGAGAAGCGGTCAAAAACCCAGCTCAACTGTTCCTTTGAAGTTTTCAATCTTTTCGTTTTCATTCCTGAAATCTCGGCACCATTCTTTTGGAGTGCGAAATGTGCCATATTTGTGACGCATTTGGCTTTCCAAGATTGTCTTCAGCTGCTCCCCGTTTTTTTCAGTGACGATTTCAGTTTTCAAAGGCATTTTCAGCTGATTTCAGTGCAGGCGATGATTACAGATTTTTGACAATAGGAGATCTGTGTTTTCTCCAGAAGTTTGCTCTTAGTAATATCATCTTCACCTGATATCACTTGGGCTTGCACAAAAATAGGGGATGTCCCGATTTCTGGTCAGTTAAATGAACAGAATGGCTATTTTAATGGAAAGACTGTTTTCAACATCATTTATTTCCCAACAGCACTGACTGTTGGGTTTCAATCTCGGGGGCATGGAATGGTGCGTAGTTTTTTGCTAATCCCAAAAACAGGAACGACACCCTGAAACCATAACTGCTGTTGTGTTGCAAAGCTGAGTTAATTTTTCTCTTTTTCATGGTTTTGCTGACATTTTCACACACCCAGTTTGTTGAGTAGTGACCCAAAACCCCTGCTGATTGACTATTAAAGAGATTACGACTATGGAATTCGATGACCCTGCCTGGTTTCTTGGGGACATTTGGGGACTATCCTGACTTCTGGGAATCCCCGGTTGCCCCAATGCTCAGGTGATGATTCCAATGTGTGTTTGATGGATGCGGGGCACTGGTCGTCTCAAGGTCGCAAGCCCTGCGTCGAGCGGTTCCTCGCACACCGCAAGAGGGTCACCTCACTGAAAGTTTCTCCGGATCTTCGGGAACAACTCGCCACTGGGCGACTGTTGGGGGGAAGAATGGGGTGGGTTGGGGAAGAATGGGGCTGGCACGACTTGTCTGAATTTCTGTCAGAGTAAAATCTGGGACGAATGGATGAGGATTGAAAGATGATTTGGGGGTTACAACCCCAGTTACAAGCAGGGTAGGTACGGTTAGTTCACTTTTTTACTGGGGCTATACTCCATTTACCAAGCGGGTTGAGCCACTAAGCGGGTTGAGCCACAAAGTGGCATCAAGCAGATTGTCACGGAAAGTAAGCTTTTCACAACGACCACATGGTGCAAGCCCAAGTCCCCTTGTGAAAACCGAGGCGGTATCCACCAGCTGGGACGGTTTGGTCAAGCTTTGGGACTATCGCACTCAACGGCTGCTGTGTTCCTTTGATGAGCACGTCCCTTCCCCGGTGACAGCGCTGGCCTTCGCCCCCGTGGACGGTCGATTTTTCGTAACCACCGGTGGGGACGCGAAGCTGGCCCTCTTCGCCCGGCGGTAGCATACCGATACTCCCAGTAGTTGCTGAGCCTGGATCGGCTGCGAAGTGATGCAATTAGTAACGCAACACAACGTGAAGTACTAGGACTAGTAGGTATTAGTAAGTAACAAAGTGAAATATGAGGTAAACATGGTAAACATGGTAAACATGAATTTCCGGATTGAACATGACCTTCTGAAATTGACATGAAACTGCTCTTATCAATCAAGCTGCCGAGTCCGAGATAGGGAGAAAAACGAAAAAAATAATCGCCTTCCAGCTTGACCATCATCAATGCTACCCATGGTACATCCCAGCAAATGGCCGCTCCAATGGTTGCCACAAGTCATAGTCGGCAAAGTCCTCACCATAAAAGATTTGAGGACGAGCTGAATGATGCATTCGTGAGGGGAATTACAGTATCCTAAAGATGGTTTATTCCGAAATTCCCAAAGTTCCAGTTGAGGAATTATCATAATTTGCTTAGAATTCCAGGATTCAGTGGGATTTTGTCTGCAGAGGTGGTACAGATATGCTGCGATATGCCTTAAGATTCACCACTTTTCCAACTCACAGAGCTACTGGTGACATCCCAACAGTCCTATTGGAAATCAGTTGGTCGCAGATTCGGCCCCTTCAAGGCCATCGCAAAAGCCAAGTCTACTGTGAAATCGGGGTATCAATGGTTTTGGGTCAACTTCCTGTGACCATTTTTTTTCGGATGCTCAGATCTCATGATCAAGAAAGACCAAAGTAGACGAGCTGCATTGGTCAAGCGAAGGCTTCCTGCTGTGCCCTAAAACTGGTGGCTGACGCAGAGAATTCTCACCTCTGGGGCCTCTGGGGGGTGAGGCCTGATCTATCCTGGTCTCATTTTTGCCATCTGGCTATGGGTCAATACCTATTAATACCATTTTTAGGGGAATGAACATCCATTTACCAGCTATTTTGATGTTCACCAGGGGTACAAGGTTTTGACACACTGCCATCTATTTCCAAGCATGTCTATGGGCTTTTTTCAAGCCATGGGTGGGCTTGCCTCCAATTTATGGCGAAATTTAGGGAACATGATGACGCACCATGGGATTTTAAGGAGTTCCAGATTTTAAGACACCCTCATGTACTCATGCACTTCACTGAACAGCTTCGTAGCAATCCAAATTCAATATATATGTATATATATATATATATTACATTAGACAGAAATGAATTATAGCTTCTTCATGTGCCAGTTCATGTCATCCGACTTTTGATACCATATACGTTCCACAGAAGCAAAGTTACGTTTGGGCGCTTTGTGTTTCAAGCAACATTCTTTTGAAGCCCGAAGTCATCCACCAATTTCATGGCCCATCTTTTTGCATTTTGATACCTGGTGGTCGATGGTTACATGGGATACCAGCTTTAGAGGGGATGAAATCCAATACCACTAGGAAAACCTAACTAGCACAGCTGTTTCCAGCCGCTGCGTCAGCTACCAATAAGCTAGCTGGTGTGCGACTCAAGAGGAATCGCACGCCATTAAAAAAACATTTGCGCGCTGGGCATGGCTTAATGCCTGCTGCTTATGACCGGACTATCATTCGCATGTACCAAAAAGTGCTCTTCTGCACAAGTGGGTTTGTCTGACGGGGTACCCCAAATTTTCACGTTTTTTTTAAATCATTTTCCCGCAGGATGGTCCTGTTTTTTCCAAAACGATCCACCATTTTTGGACAAACCTAGCCAGAGTAGAAGTGCCGAAGATGTTTTTTTTTTGGCAGGTGGATGTCACCTCCAGCTTCATGTGATGCCATTGGGTAACGATGGGATGATTGAATTCTACTAGCAGGAAGGCGTTGGAAGTTGGAAGTGGTAGGTTCTCACCTTCAAACCATGAATGTTTGGATATTAAGTAGGTTTGAGTACTTGGGTATCCCAACAGACTAGGGATGATTTGAGCTCCTGAGAAGGACAAGCCCACACCCATTTTGGTTGGTGGCTTCTTGCTGTTTCTGAGCTTTTCATTCCTAAAACTGGGATTCTAGCCCCAATTGACTGCTATATGTATTGGTTGGATTGAAATCATAGAATTCCCCTTTGCCACTGGATTGAGGGGAAATCCCATTTTAAGAACCGGAGGTAAATGATAACGGTTCTGGTTCTCCGAACTGGCTCCTCTATTTTCCTGAGGACATCACTGACATCATTATCGGTTTCAAAACCCTGTTGAATCCCATGGCCCTATGGCCCATCCCCATATTCCTTGGTTTAGCAGACATCATTGGACTACAGTACACCATTTTTGCTTATTGATCATGGCCATATTATTATTTTGAATATAGTCAATATAACTCCATTTGTTTCTTATTTCCCCCATTTGTAGGATGGTCAAAAGATTGAAACTATCACTCCAACTTTCTGGTATGCAGAAACACGCATATTTGCTCGTTGAAAGGACATCATTGATTGAAAGCACCAACAAAATTGCCTTTGTATCCCGATACTTGTTGATTAGCTCCTCATGCTGGTTGACATCATTGAAGCATTCAATATCATGAGGGGTTCAACCCATTTATCATTGATTGAAACTGTCAGCATTTTTCTGTATGGCATCGGCTCAAAATAGGGTACCCCAGAATCTGATTGTTGATCATTATAATGCATGGCAAAATTACTTCACGTACTAGACCTCCCAAATTTGATTCGCTGACAGGTAATAATCTTATGTTCATACAATTCCATTCCCCTCATATTAAACGCGCCCCAATGTTATTTTCCGCTAACAATGATAGCCAGAAGTGCCAGAAGGGTCAGAAGGGAACCCCTTTTTGAGACCGATTCCGATTTCCCCCTGAGGTTGGGAGGGCGTCGCCCTGAGAAAGGTGCCAGCTGGGGCTGAGACTTTTCCTGTTTTGCCAGAATTGGTTTAAGGGGGGGAAAAAGGAAAAGAACAGGGAATTTAGTTTTCAGGGGAAGTTTTTTTTGGACTTGTTTTCATGCAAACTTTGATATGTTTGGTGATATGTTTGGATGGTTTCCCTAAATCTATTGTTGATTGGGTTGAACATTATGATTCTGGTTCCCTTTTTTGGCGGGATGTGAACATCTGACTTTATTTTTTGCCACCAATGGGTGCAGGACATCGAACATAACTTGGTGGCTGGTTTTTAGTTTGGCATGGCTGAAATGACATTGATCATGGTGTCGACATCTGGTAAGCCTGCTAAGCCCGGTAAGCCAATGATCCTGCTTCGGAGTTTATGTTGCAGTATCCTCCCACCCAGAAAGCCAATGATCACCATCACCAAACCATCAAGACGTGCACCAAACCACCTGTAGGGTGATATCCAAAAGTGTACTTCGATCGCCTGGTGGGGGAGAGAACTATCCAAATATCCTTATCAGGAAGGCTTATAGATATACAAACAACAACTACCCAGGCCTACTATTGGTATATATACACGCTTATCTCTCATGATTGGTCACATTTGAGCAACTGATAAGATTGTTAGTAGGGGGAAAACATACCTTGATCAGGCTACCAGTCCTCTACTTCAATTGGTTTCGCCACAAAAGGCTATGTCCAGCACAGCAATTTTTATCATGTTGTCAGCTCGAACAAGATGGATGGTTAGAAACTGAAATTATCACTTAACCCATGAAATATCGCCATACAATGGTTGGGGAATGGTTGCAAAATTCGTCAGATATCCTAATTGTGTTTCACAGCTATGACCTCATATCCACAGCAGTGACCTCATTATGACATCGCTAGAAATTATGATCATCCTGAAATCTACCCCATCACCTTACTTCAAGCTGGCCAACCACAATCCAGTCACATAAACAATTGGAGAACAGCAACATGCCAATGGGGAAGTGACGAGTTCATGAACTTTAGGATTTTCTGGTTCCAAGTTTCTGAGACAACCGCAGGTGTGTCGCTCCGAGAGGCAGGGTTTCTCTGAAAATTTAGGGAAACCCCCGATCTCCCTACTGTTGAGTTTTTTCCCCCATGAAAATTGCAATTCGGAGAATACAAACTTCCATTTTTGGGTTCTGAAGCCACATGGCAATGACAAGTTCCACCATTTGTATAGATTATTTTTACAGTTCCAACGGATTAGCAGAGGGTACCTTCGACAAGTGCTCGCAGTCCCCCTGTTTGAGCCATTCGAATAGTTGATTTCAGAAGGGGCTCCTGTAGTCATGATAGACCTCTCGTGGATTTCAACATCAAAGTTTTCTCGTTGGTGGTTTGGAACATTTGGATTATTTTTCCATCTATTGGGAATGTCATAATCCCAACTGCCGAACTCCATCATTTTTCAGAGGGGTAGGGCTCAACCACCAACCAGTTTATAAATGTTTTCAAGGTTCGATGTGTGGCTAGTGACTTGTGTTCGCACGTGGGGCCCCCATCCATTGGATGATGCGCTAAGAAATCGGATCAACGGGGACCGGGGGGACCCAGCTGTTTTTTTTAGATGCGAAAGAAGTAGAGGTATTTCAATCATGAAGTATCATGTTTTCTATAGATTATATAACACCATATATTTATTATGATATTGTATATCCGCTGGTTACTTAATCCTTTGCATTCTTTTGCTGTACAAGTGTTGTCACATGCCCGACGCTGGTCAATCTTCGAAGCTGGGAAAATGCGAGTCATGGGAAAATGCCTGTTTGACCCTTCAACCCTGCAGAACGATGAAGATCAAAATCACTACATTGATGGTTTATCATTCACTTTGCCTTCACATCCAACGTTGGACATGTATGTATTCACCGGACCTTCGTTCTTAGCCATTTTTCTTTTCGCTACTTTGTTCGCAACTAAAAGAAACGGTTTTTTCATTTTTTTCAGCATTTAAAAAATAACACTCCCGGGGACCACTCGCCCAGCATGTGGTGGTTCCCAAGTTGCGTGAGGTAACGAACACAACGTGCGAAGCGGATGCAGGTGGGGCCACACTTCTGGAGGATGGTCTCAGGGTTTCGATGACTTTCTGGTCCATTTTTTACCAAACGAACATCATCAGGTTCAAATCCCCAAATATTAGTTGGTGAACCCCTAGATATTTTCGTTGCTTATGTCCCCAGAAACA